CCCTGTCCCCAGGGGTGTGGGGGTGACACCCTTGCGTGTCTGCACACCCCAGGCCCCAAGGCCCCCCTGTCTCAGGGGGTGTCTGGGTAACAGCCCTGCAGTGTTTGCACACCGGGCCGAGCCAATCCTGCTTATCCTGGGCCTGCAGGCCCCTGGAGCCTGGAGCGGGAGACAGCCCCTGTCCACACAGACCAGAACTACACCCGGCCAGGAATTTCTCAAGGTCCCTTGCCTCAGGCCACTAAAGCCGTCACACGGGGCCCTGCTGGGTGCGCCCTGATCCCCTCGAGTGCCGTGAACTGTGAGGGCGGAGATGAAGCCTCGCTTGGCCTCGCAGCCCCTGCTGGGGAATCTGGAGCTCCTTGGGGATCCCGTGGAGGCCACTTCTGGACCTGGTGTGGCAGGGTCCCATCCCAGGACAGTCACCAACCCTTGTTCTTCCTCTTCTTTTCCAGCTCGCGAGCATATCTCCCGCTGGGACCCAGGGCCCTGAGATTCAGCCGTGCCCCTCCCCAGCCAGCGCCTGGGTGCACAGCCCCACTGGCCCGCCTGCCCTCCTGTGTAGAACCAGGGCCTGGCTGGGACTGCGGCCCAACAACCAAAGAGGTCTCAGACCTTGCAGGACGTCGGGCGGGGTACAAGCGAGGCCGACAGAGTCTGGTGGAAGAGGAGGGGAGCCTGGGTCCCCCCACTCCCCGGCCTGCTTTTGATCGGGAAGATGGGGCTTAATCACGCCCTGAAACAGGAGTCCGGACCAGCAGGGAGAAGAGACTACTCCGGTCCACCCAGGCTGGACCCTCTGGGGCAGATGGAGGCTCCTCACCGCCCATGGTGCACCCTACAAAGGATTAAACTAAATTATGGATGAGCCAGACTTGCACATGCTCATTGTGAATGGGGGATTCAGACAACCCAGAATGGTTCTGGGCAGACCGGCCTCCTCCCACCTGCCCTGCTCCCTGCTCACCCAGAGGACCCAGGCCACCCTCCGGAGGTTTTCAGACCCTCGGTCCTGAATAACGCTCAGACTTACGGGCCTCACTCGCACCCCTGACTTCTAGCCCCTCTCACCTCTGCCTCTGTCGGCTTTGGGTTTCTGTTCACGCCTCCCCCTTTATTCTTATGACTGCTTCTCCGCGGCTCTTCTTTCCTTGTGATTACCTGAACTTGGGCCGTTATGGCCCCATGGCTTCCCTGTTCCTAGAGTGGTGAGAGGGTGAGTCCCAGCAGGTGCAAGACCAGGAGATACTACCGTGTCCAGAATGCCGCGTGGCCAGATTGTGCAAGTGTCGAGTCAGTCTGCTGGTTGGAAGGACAAGTATGGCCTTGGCTCAGGAAGCTCGGAGAAGCAGATCAGTCGGAGTTCTTGGTGGCAACCAACAGAAACACAGAAACTGCTCTGGCAAGTCGTGACAGAAAAGGAGCTTATCAAAAAGTCAGTGGTTTTTTTAAACGCGCAAAGGGTTTGAATAGACAGTTCTCCAAAGAAGATGTACAAACGGCCCACAAGCACGTGATAAGATGTTCAGCACCAGTGGCCATTAGGCAATCCAAATAGAAACCAAAATGAAACACCACTTCACATCCATTAGAGAGGCTGTTAGCAACAGAACAGACAGTAACGAGGGTTGATGCGGGCGGGGACTCTTTGGGGCCCTCGTATGTTGCTAGTGGAAAAGTAAAGTGGTGTGGTCACAGTGGAAAACCGTGAGGCAATTCCTCACAAAGTTAAGCACCACTATCATATGACCCAACAATTTAACTCCTAGGAATGCACTGAAGAGACATGAAAACAAGTTCTCAAAACAATTCTTAAACACAAATTTCACAGCAGCATTATTCACAATAGCCAAAAGTTAGAAACAACCCAAAAGTCCATCAGTGTTTAAATAGCAGTGTACACATGCAATGGAATATTATTCAACCATTAAAAGGAATGAAGGGGACTTCCCACTAGGGGTGGTCTAGTGGTTAAGACTCTGTTCTCCCAATGCAGGGGACGAAGGTTTGATCCCTAATCAGGGAACTAGACCCCACATGCTGCCACTAAAAGACCCTGCATGCCACAGCTAAGACCTGGTGCAGCCCAACAAATATTTTTTTTTAGAAAAAGGAATGAAGTACTAATACAGGCTACCAGACGGATAAACCTTGAATACACTATTTTAAGTGAAAGAAGCCAGTCACAAAAGATCATGTATTGCATGATTCCATTTATCTGAACTAGTCAGAAAAGGATAAATCCAGAGATGCAGACTGGTGGATGCCAAGAGAAACGGGAAAATGAGGGTGTGGGTTTTATTTTGAAATGATAAAAATGTTTTGGAATTTAGAGAGAGCTAGTGGCTACAGAACATTGTAGATGTATTTGGTGTCACTGACTTGGTTAATTTTATGTTATGCAAATTTCCCTTCAATTTTTTTTTTTTAAAGACAGTGGTTGGTCACGGGATCCCTGATAGAGTGAGAGTCGGCTGGGGGCTTGTGTGGGCAGAAACAGTGCTCCAAGCTCTGTTGCAAAGCCCGTCTGGGTAGACTGCCATCCAGACAAGGAAGTGCACAGCCTACCCCAAGGCAGCGATATGGGAGCCACCTCTGTGGCGACTGAGGCTGGCAATCCAACGCTCTGGGGAGCCTCTAACGCCCCAGACGCTGTGTTTCCATTCAGCTGCAGCTTCTCCCACCAGCCGGCCAGGCGCTACGGCACTTCCCCACCAACATATTCTCAACAAGGCGACAAAGGACGCGCTGGAGGCGAGGCCGCTGACCGCGGCGGGCCTCCGTGCCGGGTCACGGATCAGCGGCATCAGCACCATCTGGGATCTTGTTAGAAAAGCAGGTTTTCAGCTGCTCTGAAGCTAATCTGAGTTCCAACCAGACCTCCAGCCACTTCAGATGTAGGCTCAGGTGCAAGAGCCTGACAGAGACAGCGTCTGAGTCTCAAGTCACCTGAGTTGGAAGACAGGCTCTGACACTTGCGAACTGTGTGACTTTGGGCAACTTATTAACACCTAGGGGTCCTGCTGGCCGAGTCTGCCTGGAACCACCCTGGTTTTAGCACTCAAAATCCCAGAAACCTGGGAAACCTCTCTGTCCCAGACAAACAGGACATTTGGTCACCCTAAAACATCTCTCTGCCTCGTGACACTTTTCCATAAAATGAAGACAATAAAGCGAGTAATACATCAAAGTGTTTGAAAGAGCCTGGTGAGAGCAAACGCTGACAGATGTCAGCTGGGCTGAGCCAGTGCCCTCACTTCTCAATTCCTCCATCAATGTTAAACCATCTAAACTTCGTTAAAAACCTAACAAAATTGTTAAGTAAACAAAGTGCTTAAAACTGTCCCTGATAGAATAGTAAATGCTCAGTAAGTTTCAGCTATTTTTATTTGTGTTCTTATTAACTAATATTATTGGGCCACAATTGCATCCATGGGTTTTGGTTTTATATATATATGACTTATTTGGCCGCACTGGGTCTTAGTTGCAGCATGCAGGATCTAGTTCCCTGACCAGGGATTGAACCTAGGCCCCCTGCATGGGCAGCATGGAGTCTTAACCAATGGACTAGCAGGGAAGTCCCAAGTCCAGGTTTTAAGTGACTATCAGAGTGAACAGCTAGAACCATCCCAGACACTCATGGTAGCCCCAGTTCACTTCAATTCAGTCTCTCAGTCGTGTCCGACTCTCTGCGACCTCATGGACTGCAGCACGCCAGGTCTCCCTGTCTATCACCAACTCCCAGAGTTTACTCAAACTCATGTCCATTGAGTCGGTGATGCCATCCAACCATCTCATCCTCTGTCGTCCCCTTCTCCTCCTGCCTTCAATCTTTCCCAGCATCAGGGTCTTTTCAAATGAGTCAGTTCTTCGCATCAGGTGGCCAAAGTACTGGAGTTTCAGCTTCAACATCAGTCCTTCCAATGAACATTCAGGACTGATCTCCTTTAGGATGGACTGGTTGGATCTTCTTGTTGTCCACGGGACTCTCAAGAGTCTTCTCCAACACCACAGTTCAAAAGCATCAAGTCTGGAGAAGGAAATGGCAACCCACTCCAATACTCTTGCCTGGAAAATTCCACGGACGGAGGAGCCTGGTAGGCTACAGTCCATGGGGTCGCAAAGAGTTGGACACGACTGAGCGACTTAAAGCCAGATTAGTCAGCTCCTCTTAGAATTCATGTATTAAAAAAATATTAATCAGAGATTGTAAAATTAGTTTGTGCCCCGAACCCAGACTACAGACATCTTTTGTTTGACCCATGTAGCAATGAAAACAATGAGAAATTTTATATAAAAAGTAAAACCATCAAATTATCCAGAAAATATCTACTGAGCTTGGCAGTTACAAGGTCATGAATGGTCCTGTCAAGAAAACTGTGAGGCCTGGGATCTTAGTCCCCCCTACCAGGGACTGAACCTGCACCCACTGCATTGGAAGGCAAAGTCTAAACTGCTGTACCACTAGGGAAGTCCAGAATAAAATCTTTTGAAAGTTTAATTGCAAAGATACAACGTTCTTCACTTTTTTCCCCTTGATTTGGGAATCTGATGTACCCAATAACTCCTGATGGAAGCAGTGCAAGGAGTCAGTTTTCTTCTACATCGTACATGGAAGGACAATTATAGGATACAACTGGAGAGAAGCAGCATTGAATTTCTGTTAAAAATGGGAAATTCTAAGGTGTTTTTAAGTGCTGGCAAAAAAGGAAGACAGAAAAAGCTATGTGATGATCTGGAGGAAAACCGTTCCAGACTGAAAGAGAGCACAGAGCACAGAGCACAGAGCACAGACCTGGAGACGAGCTGAATTTGATGTGCTCATCAGACATCCAAGCAGAGGCAGATCCTGGAGCTCAGAGGAGTGGTGGAACTGAGCAGAGGTTTTCGAGTCACTGCTCCAGAAAGATCTAGAAGAGGTGAAGGTGCTGCTGGAAAAAGCCACTAAGAAAAGAGTACGTGATGCCCTGACAGCTGAAAAATCCAAGACTGAGACAGAAATGAAGAATGAGATGCAGCAGAAATCACAGAGGAAAGCAGAACTTACAGAAAACAAGAAGCCAGCTGCTGTCGTTGCTCCTATTACAACAGGATATACAGTGAAAATCAGTAATTACGGATGGGACAAGTCAGATAAGTTTGTGAAAATCTACATTACCTTACCTGGAGTTCATCAAGTGCCTGCTGAGAGTGTGCAGGTGAATTTCACAGAGAGGTCATTTGATCTTTTGGTAAAGAACCTAAATGGAAAGAGTTACTCCATAATTGTGAACAATCTCTTGAAACCCATCTCTGTGGAAGGCAGTTCAAAAAAGGTCAAGACAGATACAGTTCTTATCTTATGTAGAAAGAAAGCAGAAAACACACAGTGGGACTACCTGACTCAGGTTGAAAAAGAATGCAAAGAGAAAGGAAAGCCCTCCTAAGACACTGAAACAGATCCTAGTGAGGGATTACTGAATGTTATAAAGAAAATTTATGAAGATGGAGATGATGATATGAAGCGAACCATTAATAAAGCCTGGGTGGAATCAAGAGAAAAGCAAGCCAAAGGAGATACAGACTTCTGAGACTTTAAAGTCTTTTTGGGAACTGTGATGTGGAAAGATAATGTTTCCAATAAGGAAATGTTGCTAAGCTGCAGAAATCTGACATATAACTACTTACACAGCCTTCTTCTAAGTAAAGGCAACGAATTCCCCACTTCCTGCTGGAGAATTTATTTAAATAAAATTCGCTTATTAAACACTTCCTCCATGGATGGTTTCTTTAGTAACCAGGTCATTTTATTCAAGAAGAGTAACGTATTCTGGTGTGAAATGTAAAAAAGCAAGTCTTGCCTAATGAAAATGCCACATTGTGTGTATTATTGTTCAGCTAAGAGGTGGAAAACAAAGTTCTGTGCTTGCCTTTCAGTTCCTGACATCAACTCCCACCAGTGTAAGAATAAGTAAAAATAAAGCCTGAATTTTTACATAAAAAACAAAAAAGCATCAAGTCTTCGGCACTCAGCTTTCTTCATAGTCCAACTCTCACATCCATACATGACCACTGGAAAAACCATAGCTTTGACTAGATGGACCTTTGTTGGGAAAGTAATGTCTCTGCTTTTTAATATGCTATCTAGGTTGGTCATAGCTTTTCTTCCAAGGAGCAAGCGTCTTTTAATTTCATGGCTGCAGTCACCATCTGTAGTGATTTTGGAGCCCAAAAATATAAAGTCTCTTAGCGTTTCCATTGTTTCCCCATCTATTTGCCATGAAGTGATGGGACTGGATGCCATGATCTTAGTATTTTTAATGTTGAGCTTTAAGCCAACTTTTTCACTCTTCTCTTTCACTTTCATCAAGAGGCTCTTTAGTTCTTTGCTTTCTGCCACAGAACCCTAAATAACTGTGTTCCACTTCATTTAACATTATTTTCCTCCTTCCCCACTCTGAAATTTCAGAATCCATTCCCAGATCATCTTGCAGGTTTTGCCAAAATAAATTAGCAAAATCTCATGGTTCTTTTGGTGTTTCAATATCCTCCTCCCAGATTTCATGTCACTGGTTCCCGGGGGCCTGCTGAGATCTGCCTTGTTATTTAAGTCTGGAGAACATGAGGGGTGATAGGGCAGGACACGCAGGGGTCTCCTTCAGAGTGTATTATTTAAGGAAATGCTAGCTGCTGGCCTGGTTGCACGCGTGCAAAGGGGGAGAGAACCCAGGCTGTGCAGGGCCCCTGCCACCCATAGCACGCGGCTCTCCACTCACCCGGGGCGCTGGCATTCAGGGGGTCTGCTCGGGAAGCAGGAGGGTGGGTGGTCACTCGGAGGATGCCACGGGTCGGTGCAGGAAGCGGTGCGCCCCGTCTTCCGTTGCCACTGGCCACACCTCAGCCACACAGCACACAAAGGGTGGGTACGTCCACCTAGACATGCGCCCAGGAGGAAAGGGATCCGGGCCCACTAGCAAAGAGCTAGTGAATTTCTGCTCCCCGGACCTTCAGAATGACCAAGAAGAGCCCTTTTGGCCGTCAGGGGAGCCTCTGCAGGGATGAGGTCCTGAGCCCCCCACACCCTCCTGCCGGGCCGATTCTAATCGCTTCAGCTCTTCACTCTCCGTCTTCCCTGGTTAGAGACACAGAGAGGGTGTGAAGCCACCTGATCGCATCATTTGTGCTGTTGTTCAGTCGCTCAGCCGTATCCAACTCTTTTGCAACTCCCTGGACTATAGCCCGCTAGGCTCCTCTGTCCATGCGATTTCCCAGGCAAAAATACTGGAATGGGTTGCCATTTCCTTCTCCAGGGATCTTCCCGAGCCAGGGATCGAACCCGAGTCTCCTGCGTTGGCAGGCAGATCCTTTACCATTGAACCACAAGGGAAGTCTGGTGTCATTTTATAGCCATTGATTAGGCCTTAAGTTTGGGTTGTAACTCTCTGAACCTTGCCACGTAAAGGTTTAAAAATTCCCTGATTTTCTAACCATGTCTTGAGCCCAGAAACCTTGAGCCTCTAGAGCCAGGCCTAGAGCTCATGTTTCTTTCCTGTAAGCTGTTGGTGCTGCTAGCTCAGCACCCTGCCCAACAGCCTCTGATTTCAGACTAATCTTTATGTGCTTCTACGGCAAGAGCCACCAGGTCCTGAGAGCCGGTCCCAGCTGGGCGCTTTGTTCTGGCACCACAAGATTAGCTGTCTTGCCATGGCATGCCGTGGGCGGCTAGTGTCCTGTCCCCTAATGCTGGCTGGATTGTCACTGGCCTCTGGCCGCTTGCCAGCCTTACATCACCCGCATTTCCCACAGCGTTTCTGGTTCCATCCACTTCTGGTCCTATTTTTGTCATCAACCAAGATTCTTACCTCTAAGTAAGAGAAACTGAGTATGGTGACTCTAAGCAGAAATGGAATTTGTCCAGGATACTGGTTAGTTCCCAGGAGTTCTGGAAGGTTGGAGGGTCAGATCTGGAAGAGATGCCCTGCCTCTGCTGGGCACAGCACAACGGGCACCATCACCCAGGGGTGGACATGCCACCTCCTTTGAAATCTGGGGGTAGCTGCGGCTGCTGCTGCCACCAGTTGCTAAGATGGGCTTCTTCCACTGGCAGGTTTAACTTAGAGTTGGGCAGGTGGGTCTGATCGGAGCGGCCAGGTCATGTGTCCAGGCCCTCACTGCAAGGTTAGGAAAGGGAGGCAAAAAGGGTCGTTTTCAGCTTCTTTCGCAGCAGGCAGGCTCTGTCTTAAAGCTGGAGGACACTTCTAACACAGGAAGGGGTCTTCGATGTGGGACAACCGAAAGAAAGACTCGGGTCCACGGCAAGAGGCCACCTGATGCCTGGCACCCTGGCCTGCAGCACTGGCCTTGTTACCCTGCGCTCTAACCAGCAGCCTCTCTAGCCTTTGGATTCTGTGCAGGGTGAGGTGGGTAACAGGGCAGTGAGGCAGAGGCAGTGAGGCCAGGAGGTGCTGACAGAATCGGGCTATGCTTGTAGCCGAGCCCATCAGTAAGGGTCTTTCAGTAAGTCCTCCAACTTCTTGGAACACACAGTGGTTTCAAGGCAGAGGACTGAGATCTCATTACTCCTCTCAAGCTGCTCTCCATGTGACCCTGGGCACATTCTGAGCCTTTCTGTAAGGTGGGGAGCATCAGGACATCCCTGGCGGTCCTGTAGCTAAGACTTCACCTTCCAATGCAGGGGGTGCAGGTTCAATCCCCGGCTGGAGAACTAAAGATCCCACATGCCACAGAGCAACTAAGGCCAAAGTTCCCTTCAGATCTAAAATTAAATGAAAAAAAAGGATGGGGCGCATGTACCTTGCAAAGTTGTCATGAGGATTAAACAAGATGATGGATGTAAAGTTTGTAGCACAATGCCTGGCAAATAGCTGGAATTCAATCATTGTTGGCTGCCGGTTACAACTGTAATATGGGGATGATACGATCACCCTTCCCTCTCTTCCTGGGAGCTCTGTGAAAACAATGGACTATTCTGCACATCCGTGAACTCGGGGCGGGGGTTGGGGGGGATGTGTCTGGGAATCAGTGTGGGAACTCTGGGGACAGCTGTTCCGTATGGCCGCCTCCGTCAGCTGCTCTGCCCTGCTCTTACTCTCGCCCCTTCCATCTGCTTGGCCTCTGTTACAGACTTCTCCTTTCCTCCCATCTGACTGCCAGCCTCCCCATCCTTGCATCATCATTACAACTCCCATTCATTAACTGTCCTAGCCACATTCTGGGTGCTCAAGCTTTTCACAACCAGGGGGAATGCAAGCAGGTGTCCCTTAGGAAATCGCTCTGGTAGTCTTTGTAAGAGGTGAACACAGAGCAAAGACCTCTCCCCTATTTCCTGGTTCTTGGCCCCTATGGTTATGAATCACTACACTGTCACGTACCTTACATTATACATCAACTATATTTCAGTTTTTAAACTTTTTAATAATGAAAAATAACAAGAACGTTTCTGGTGGTCCAGTGGTTAAGAATCTGCCCTGTGATGCAGGGGATGCAGGTTCAACCCCTGGTCTGGGAAGATTCCACAAGCCTTGGGGCAATGAAGCTCTTGTGCCACAACTACTGAAGCCTGTGCGGTCTAAAGTCTTTGCTCGGCAAGAAGAGAAGCCAGCACACCACAGTGAAGAGTAGCGCCCCCACCCCACCCCTCCCCGCTCTCTACCAACTGGAGAAAGCCCGCCCAGCAGCAGTGAAGACGCAGCCCACTCAAAGATAAATAAAATTTACAAATTCAGCTTTTCTGAATAAGATCTGATCAAGACAGAACACAGAATCTTATTGTTTCTTAGGCAGAGTACATTTAAGGCAAAGAAACTTTGTCTTCTTAACAGAGAGGAAAAACCAAATTCTAATTTTGCACCTGTGTACTTTTGATGTTAAAACTCTTTTTAGGGACTTCCCTGGTAGTTCAGTGGCTGAGACTCCACACTCCCAATGCTCGGGGGTCCAGGTTTGATTCCCGGTTAGGGAACTAGATCCCACAGGAAACAACTAAAGATCCTGCATGCTGCAACAAAGATCAAAATCCCATGCGCACAACCGATACCTGGCACTGTGAAATAATAAATAAATATTGAAGACGGCCTGAGCCTATTTGATTAGCAAACTCAGGCTGAAAAAGTTGCATATTTATTTCCAGTATTGACAGTTCTGATAATATGCCTGTTTTTATTTACACCAACAAACTTAAGCTAGCTTTTACTTATCAACCATTATTCCAGATCACATGAACTGGAAAAAAATTTGAGTTAGTTTCTATATTTCTGAGAGTATACTTGATTTATACATGCTTAATTTTATTTTAAGCCAACTAAATAGCACTCCTTACAAATTAATTTTGGCAACACCATCTGAAGGTAGAAAAATATCACATGCCCGTAACATACGCACATAGACATACATAAGATGCAGGCAGACATAAAGATCTTATAGCTTCTGTTTTTAAAAATGTTAGCCATGTATCAGGTATAAAACTCAAATCCAAATTATTTTTTCTGGCAGATGGAATAAATTAAAGTTACCTGATCAGATGATCAGTTTTTCATTAAAGATTTTTTTATTCACCTGCAGTAAGAATCCTTTTAAAGCTGTGTTTTTTTAAATTTTTTTTATCTTTTAGAAACTTCTGCATACCAGTTGAAGAATGAATTTAGTTGTCTCTGAAAGGTTTGGAATTCTCACTTTTATGGGTGCCCCTTTGAGAAATGGAAGTATTTTTGTGACCCCATGAACTGGGTCCCACCAGGATCCTCTGTCCATAGTATTTTCCAGGCAAGAACAGAGGAGTGGGTTGCCATTCCCTTCTGCAGGGAATCTTCCCAACCCAGGGATTGAACCTAGGTCTCCTGCATCATGGGCAGACACTTTACCATCTGAGCCACCAGGCTGGTACATAAGCAGTTCCTTTCAGGTGGACTTATCTAAAGCAGTGTTTACCCAGGATGGCGATTATAACTCTAAATTTTCTAAAAGTTCACCTATTTTTCCAGAAAGGCATAGGTGCTTGTCCAAAAACTAGGTGAAGCTATCTTGCCTTTGGATTCCCTAAACTGTCTTAATTATGAGCGTCTCTGTTTTCCAACAGCTGTTTTAAAACATTAGGAATCACATATTCTCCCTGCTTTTGAACAGGAAGGGTGACTTACCAGGGAATCCAGTCCAATGGTTAGGACTCCATGTTTTCACTGCCAAGGGCCCGGGTTCAAGCCTTAAGATTCCACAAGCTGCATGGAGCAGCCAAAAAAAAAAAAAAAAAAAGCAGGAGATATTAATAAAATCCTCATGAGATTAATGTCCTCCTTTGTCAAAAATAGTTCTTTATCTTCTTACTTCCTGCTGGTTATACAGGCTGCAATGAATGCTACATGTGTGCAAGCTCCCTCTTCAGAGTTTCCCAAGTCCATTTTGAAAAATGAGATTTGCTTTACCTGTTTTCAAAGTGCTCAGGCATTGTTGCCCTACATGGTGAACACGGGTGTGTTTCTCTGGACACTGTGAATATGAAAGTCAAAGAAAAGACATGGAAAGCCAGACGACATGGAAGCACAGCTGTTTTCTTAGTGCCTGGGTGTGTGTTTAATGTGTTATTGAGTGGATAAGTCAGGATCGCGAATGGGAGAGAAGGACTGAGGTGGGGGTACAGAATCACCAACTTCCTCCCCACTCGATCAGGATTGTCAGCACCTCAGGACACTGTTGCTGGTCCTCCTGCTCCTCTCCGTGAGCAAGCAGGTGCTGGATAAATGCTCTTGGTGACTGGGTTGCAGGAAGTCTTGTGAACAGAAAAAGAAGGCTCACATTTGATACTGTCTTGGTAGCTAAAAGTGGGCCATGGATGATGATTACAGATTCAGGAGGAAATGGGGTGGGCTCAGGGAGGGGCCTCAAAGTCACAGGTGAAACTCTGGGATCCCATCCAAACCTACAAACAAAAGCTGGAACTGATTCAATGGCGTTCCATTCATTAACTCAGCAGATACCAACTGAGCACTTACCAGGTGGCCAGGCCCCAGGTGAGCTGTGAGAATACAGCAATGAGCAGATTCCTCTTTGTCTGCCCGGAGCCTGGAGCTCTGTGCTCAAACGGCGGGAGTGAAGGGGCCCAAAAGGAGAGCCCTGCCTTGACTGCTGCACAGACTGCCTGGCTTGCTGCTCAGCCCTGCTCTAAACCGGTTCAGCGGACTCTCTGACTCCCCCGCCACCAAGACAGAGGGCAGCGGGCTGTCCTCCCGCAGCCCAGGCGGGCAGAGAGCCGCTGGGGCCCTGTCAGCAGCCGGCCCGGGAGCCTGGCCCAGAGGCAGCTGCTGGTGGGCGGGCGGCGGGCACACTGCAGAGCTAACCCGGCCAGGGCTGGGGCCCCTTAGGGGTCAGGACACCCCCCTCCTGGGGTGACGGTCCCACCCCAGGCCCCAGGGGCCGGGCGATGGGGCTGTTCCCGTGCTCAGTTTGGGGGAACGGCAGAGCGGCCTCCCCACCCCTGGGGGTTCTTTTGCCTTGAAGTGAGTCAAAGGGACACTGTCTCAGCACCGGGTCCCCTGAGAGTGGGGCCGGTCCCTCTGGAGCGGGAGCCCAGCCCTGGGCAGCTGGGCCGGGTCCGCGGGCCAGGCGCGCTGCCCACAGACTGGGCACAGGTCCCGCTGCACAGCCTCCCCTCGGGGCGGCGGGGCGGAGAGGGCCGGCCCGGAGCGGGCCCATGCGCTGGGCGCCCCCCTCCTGCGCCCCGGTCCCCCAGCTCTGCCCCTGCGGCTCTCTCTTCAGATCGGACATGGCTCGGGAGCCCAGGCCCAGCGCTGCCCGGCGGGGCCGGAAGAGGCCATGGGGCACAGCCGTCTCCCGGTGAGTCCGGGGTGGCCTGTTGGGAAGGGAGTCTGACCACGGCTTGTCTGGGGCCCTGGGCTCCCCAGGACAGAAGCAGCACCCCAGGAGGCTCGCTCAGTATGCCCCCGCTAACCAGCCAGACTGCCTGTCCCGTTCACCGTGGCCCCGGAGGAGGCCGGGCTCCCTCAGGTTTTGTCTGTAAACTGGGGGTTGGGGGGGGTTGATCCAGCTCACTCCAAGGCCACTTCTAGCTGACATAACCCTGCACCCATCCTGCTGGGGGTGCCGTCTCCCCTCGCCTGGACCTGGAGGTTGTGGTCCTCCGAGCGGAACCTCTCCTGCGAGGTGCTCGGGAGCTATTTCTGGGTGTAGATGTTTGGGAAGTAGAAAATGAGAAACTTTCTGGATGAAATCATCTCTCTAGCTTGGGAAGCCTCAAGGAATTTTAAAGGAACCTTTAAACATTTTCAGAAAGGCGCTCAGCAACCTCTGCCAGCCACTGTGCATTTTCACAGGTGATGAGGAGGGTGTATGGGAAGCAGTGGGCCCCTGGTCCCCTCCGCGGACGTCTGCAAACACGGTGGCTTCTGCCTCGCCAGAAGGGGAGGCAGGAGGCAGTCAGGCAGGTGGTTGCTGTGAGGTACAGCACTGTGTAAACACTTGGTACCAAAGGTTCTGGTTTCTTTTCGGTCTCATCTCCCTGGAAGCAGGATGGCAGGGCTGGGTGGGGGCCACTGTGAGAAGCTTCTGCACCTCCAGGCTGACCTCGAGAGCGATTAGGCCAAATCTCTCCCTGTCTGTGGCAGCCTGAGGCTCTGGTTTACCTTTGCGGGATAGACTGCTTTTTTCTCTGCATTTGTTTGGGGCTGAGTAGTAGATGCGTACTCATAGGTAACAGATTTTTTTGTTGTTAATTTATTTTACTTGGAGGCTAATCACTTTACTATTGTGGTGGTTTCTGCCATACACTGACATGAATCAGCCACGGGTGTACCTGTGTCCGCATCCTGAACCCCCTTCCCACCTCCCTCCCCACCCCATCCCTCTGGGTCGTCCCAGAGTGCCGGCTGTGAGTGCCCTGCTTCATGCATCGAACTTGGACTGGTCATCTATTTCACATATGGTAATACACAGGTAACACAGATTTTTAAACTTGGGTTTCTTCAGTGACGCAGAACTGCATATACGGTGTGTGGTTTGCCTCCCATCTCATGTGGGAGACTGTCATCTGGGGGTTGATAGGGTTTTGCAAATGTCCGTCTAATAGGATGTAACTGGCCCCTTCCCACAGTTCTCCGCCCTGTTTTTCCACGTGGCCACTTTGAAGCTGGGCTAACCCTCCTCCAGCTCCAGTTGCCTTCTTCTGACTTCATGGCCTCCCAGCCCCTCGCCCAGCAGGCTCGGCCTCCACCCTGTAGGTGCCTGTGGAGGAAGACAGGAGCGATGGGAGAAATGCCAGCTCTCCTGCAGGAGTGCAGACTTCACTCAGTGGTGCCGGGCACTCAAGGCCTGGGGCCCATGTGTCTCCAGTGGGGAGAATGAAGCCCTTGGTGGGGTGCGGTCAGGCAGCAGACTGTGGGAAAACATCCCAAAGCAGGGTGGGGTCCTGGCGGCCCCCCAGGTGCTGGATGCCTTCTCTGCGAGAACTGGTCAAGTCCAAGTCATGTGCCTTGGGTCTCAAAACGGCATCTGTCAACTTAGAGGGAAAGGTTTGTGGCAGAAGTGTTGCCCCGTGTTCCCTGGCCTTTGGCCCTGAGGTCTGATGTCTGCCATCGGCACCATTCCGACGATGCATTTTATTTCTCTTTTTATGGAAAGTGGAAGCCTACAGACTGTAATCATTAGCCCAGACCAGGGGACAGAAGGGGCTGTGGACCCCAGGAGGGGCAAGGCTACAAACCCTAGCGGAAACTAGGGGCGTGGGGGCGGTGGGGGGCAGAGCAGGGATGACCCCAGGCCCTCGACCTGCAGCAAGCTGCAGCCTAACCTCTAACCCCCAAACTCAACTCTCTCTGTCTCAACTCCTGTAGCTCTCAAGTTTGTACTCAACAGTCAGTGAATCACTGTTACTTAGTCATTTTTAGGTATTTTAGAAAGTGATTTTAAGGGGGGGAAAAGAAGAAAACAACTAGCTTTCTGCATTGGCCGGGAATCGAACCCGGGCCTCCCGCGTGGCAGGCGAGAATTCTACCACTGAACCACCAATGCCTCCATGAAATCTGCCCTTGGCTAGCTCGGTAGTCGTCTTTCGGCCAACCCGGCTCCCCTCCCCTGCGTTCCGGAGCGGAGTTGCATCCCAGTCGAGGGCCCGCACCAGCAAGGAGGTTCCCCGAGGGGCCGCGCTTGGCTGAGACCCGAAACTCCGAGTTCTGTCCTGGCCCCCGTGGCGCCGGAAGCGGGGCACCCCGCCCTGCCGCCCCCTTCTCCCCTTTCTCCCAGGAAGGGCCTCCCACCCCCGGGATCAGCAGCGTCCCGAGGCTCCCGAGCCGCCCACCCGGACTTCCTGAGGCCAGAAGGCAAAGCGGGGGCGGCCGGAAACCTCATCCACAGGCCTGGGGGCATCGCGATGAAGGCGAAGGTCTCCCTCCGAATGTCCCCTGAATGCCCCGGGGCTCCCACCGATCTCTCCCCTCGTTCCTGGGCGCAGGGCCCCAGAAGGTTATTTCAGAAACTTCTTTGAACCTGGCTCACAGCCCCCTGCTCCCCACCCCAGCGCCCCTCTTGCTCCAACGGAAACCTCAAGCTGCCCTGAAGTTCAGGGGTGTTAGCCTCTCGGGACCTTCCTGCCCAGGCTGGGCCCAGCCCCACCTCGGGGCCCACCTCCCGTCCCCTCCCGGGCACCGGTTCCCTGGGTGGGGGTGGGGCACGGCGCATGACCGCGGGTCTCACCGGGCCTGGACCGCAGCTAAGGCGGCGGGGCCTCGGCGCTCACCCTGCCAGTCTGGCCCCGCATCCCAGCCATTCCCACACAGGAGTAAAGGCTCTTGTAGTCCCTCCACAGCTTTGGGCCCTGACTTAACTCTTCCCTTTCATCCTTTGCCAGACTAAGAGCCAGACTAAGACCAGCAGTGCCTGGGTCAGCCAGAGGAGCCCGCGGAGGGCCCAGATCTGGCTGGCCAGAGGCCTGCGGGCAGTTGCCCCTCCTGCCACTGGGAGCCACCTGCAAGGTGCCCCGTTCAGACCCCAGCGACAGGGAAGCTGGTTTGCTGTGGTCTCCCAAAGTGACCTTGGTCAAGTGCCTAAGAGGCTCTTTGGGTGAAGAACCCTGGGATTCTAAGGAAAAGCTGCAAACCTGTTTCCCCAAATTAAACTGGCGTCTAGGCCAGGACTCTGGCCCCGGGCAGTGACCCTCTCCCCGTTTCTATTACAGCCGCAGCTACAGCCTGGACTACCAGCTACACCGGGAAGATGGCGCCTGCAGGTGGGTGGTCCTGCCGGGCGGGCCTCTGGCGCAGGGGAGGTTGGTGGCCTGACTCCCTCTGTCCTGTCCCCACAGGGTGTACCAACACCAGGGGGTCCCTCCTCTCCTCCACCGTGTGCCTGTCAGGATCCGGAGGGCCCACCTGGGCACGGGGGCCAAGGGCCGCTTCAGTCCCCACAGGGCCCCCAGGAAGAGCCAGCTGCCCCCCGAGACAAAGCGTGAGTGAGGGGGCACAGTCCTCGCTGGCAGGGTAGTGGGGAGCTGGGAGGCCCTCAGCAGGGAGGTGGGCTTAGAGGTCCCAGCAGCAGCGCCCTCTGCCCCCGCCCCCCAGTCCAGACCGAGGAGCTGCACCGCCTCAGGGCCGAGCTGAGCCACATCAAGGCCCAGGTGGACCGCCTGCTGCAGCGCGTGGAGCTCATGGAACAGCGGAGGGACCAGCTTCCAGGTCAGGCCCCCAAGGCCGCACTCCACAGGCGCCAGGTTTTCCCACGGCTGAAGGCACCCGGGGTCCAGCCTCGGGCTCTCCCTGGCCGCAGGGCCCCTCCTCACCCTCCCCGGGTGCACTCCCCCCATTCCTCCCGGGAGTGGCCCCCTCACCCACCCAGGAGCTGTCTGGAGCCAGGGCTGTGTCTCATTCAGCCCACCCCATCTTGTCCTCTCCCAGTGCTGAGACCTGAGATCAGTGCTGCACATTGAGTGGCCTCTTTGGGGTTAGCTGGGGCCTTCAGACCTGGCCTCTGACTGGGACTGTCCCTGTCTAGGGACAGAGGTCTGTGAACCGAACAGGGGCTCTGGGAGTCAGGGGTCCTTATGCAGAACCACCGAACCGAGGCAGGAGCCCAGAGGCCCGAGGGCCCTTCTGGAGGCGGACGGCTCCCAGGAGCACACAGACCCGGAGGACGCGGTGAGTGGCCAGGCACCTCCCCCATCCTCACCCTCCTTGTGTTTGGCTTCTTGTTTGTGCAGGAGACCACAGCAGCGGCTGCAGGTAGACGACTGACCTCTGTCACAGGCAATGTCTGGAAGATAGGGCCCTGTCCTATTTTTTCCCCTCCTAATTCCCTCGCATTGTCCCCAATGGATAATGGGAGTCCCCACGGCTCCCCACGGAAGCCGAAGCACACAGACCTTCCTGGGCTGAAAAATCCAAACTTGGATCTGATAACAGCCTTTTGTGCAGCTTCCAAGGGCCCCAGTGTTCCGTACGGTACCATAGCCTCCGCCCCATTGGTAGTCCTGAAGTGGGCCAAGCACCCGCTGTTGTCAGGACCCTCCCAGCAGGACTGGGCTGCTGCAGGGTTAGCAGTAAGGAGCTTCCTTTCTTCCATTTGCCCCGCTCTGGCTGCCCCTTGGCCTGTTGGGCCAGGGGACCCTTACTGCTCCCCAAGATGGAATCACATCTAGGAAAACTGGGCTAGGTGGACAAAATGCCATGTGTCTGGTGGTTCTGGGTTCATGAAGAATCTACAGTAGCACTGAAATGCCAGAGCTGCCAGGAAAGGGAGGCGGGGTTGGAGACTGGGAGTTGTTAGCAGATGGTCCCTTCCCAGCCTCACTGCACTTTGGCCCTCTGTGCTAGGGTCCTGCTTCTGCTTCTCCTACAGGTCAAGAATCAGGCATCAGACCAGGAGGGCTGTCAGTAGCAGGCTGGAACCCCTCCAGGCTCAGCAGCTCCAGGCACGGTCCTTTCCTTGAGTGTTTTCTCGAGGGTCTCCTAGTGGCACCCATGCCACCCATCCTGGAGCAAAAGCAATGGAAATAGAGGCATGGCTCAGCCAGAGCAGCCAGGCACCCTCCCCTAGTACTGGTTTTAGCTTCGTCCAGATGGCAGTCTAGGTACTGCAGGGAAGGCGGGCGGCCCGCAGCTGCCCAGCGCCAGCACACCATCTCATGCTGTAAGCGGAGCTGGATGCCCGCCTCCCAGAGCAGCATCAGCTCTCTTCCCCTGTCAAAGCCCCCAGTTCCGTCTGGGTGTCCACAGGCTTACCGTTCTTACCTTGCTTCTTGCTGCTGTGATTCTATGTATTTCAGACCTGCTTTGGAAATACATATAATGTCACTGGGGGCAAATAAAGTTTGTATCTGTCCCCCGGTCAGGGGTTCTTGGTGTGGTCCCCAGGCCTCATTCTGGTCTCTCAGCTGCCTCAAGCCAGCCTTTCCTAGAGCTGAGCAGGCCCCTGAGACACAAGCTTAGGTCACACCAAGCTGGTGCAGGGAGGACCCCAGGCGGCCCTTTTGCCAATTCAGACCTGAGCACAAACCTGCGCAGGGCTCAGGAGCCACACAGGGCGGAGCCCACCCTCGTGGTCAGACAGGCCCCCTCTGCCCTACAGAATGGCCAGACTCCATCTCCAGCATCCAGAAACTCTCACTCCTGGCATTTCAAGTGCCCTCTCGCTGGTGGACCAACGACACCAGAACACACTAAAGAAAATGCTTGTCCGAAGCCCTGAGAACACACTCCCCAGCTCAGAAGAGCCTTCCTTACTCATTAAAGTCGGTACCAAAAACAACATAAGAATGTTTCAGATATAAGCGTTTTTGTTTGGGTTCAGATGTACGTGGAAGGCACAGCCCCCTTGTCCCCGCTCTCAAAAGCAGCCCAGTTATTCAGGAGAGAGTCCCCGGCTGGCCTGCATAGTGTCCATCCCTTGCAGGACAACAGCTCCAGGTTTCCCGATGAGTCCAGCGGAAGTCCTTCCCAACTTAGGAGTCAAGATGCACTGGCAGGTTCCTTCAACTGGGTCGTGGCTGGGAGTCAACTCAATTAGAAAGGTTTCTTTAACGAAGCAGTCTGGAAAGAATCGCACCAACACGGCTATTCTGAGCACGCCTCGGCAGATCCTCTCCGATGCTCCCAGTTCTCAGCTCGGCGCACGCCGTCTGCAGGACGACGGCGCGGGTCCTTGTGGCGGCAGCGGTGGCTCGGTCCTCGGAGTCCATCGTTGCTCGGGTCTCTGGCTCAGAGGGGTGCGGCTGCACCCCTCCGGCGGGCGGCCCGCACCAAGCACTGCTGGAGAACGGGGTAGAGGCGCTGGCAGCCCTCGAGCCCCAGGCGCACGGCCTCCGCCCAGCTCTCGGTCGGGCCGCCCTCCCCGCTGCCCAGCAGCCCGGCCACCTGGTTGAGCACCGGCATGAGCGCCACGGTGAGGCCGGCGGCGGCGCGCTCCTCCTCCAGCAGCGTGGGGTCCAGCAGCCAGGTGGGCGCGGGCGCCAGCGCGCGGCTCAGGCCGCAGCCCACCACCAGGTCGTACATCTCGACGCCCGCGTCGGCCAGGGCGAGAGCGGCGGCCGTGAGCGCGGCGGCCAGCGCCGAGCCGCCGTCCTCCAGCAGCAGCGCCGACACCTCAAGTTGCGCGCGCGGGTAGCGGCCCAGGCGCACGGCCGGTTCGAGCGCCTCCTGCAGCGCCAGCGCTAGCTCGCGTTCCTCGCCGCCGCCAGGCGGGGCGCGGCGCCGGCGGCCCGAGAAGGGCGCGCGGCGGAAGTCGCAGAGCAGGCGGCCGCGCAGCGCCGCGGGGGCCTCGCCGCCCGCCCCGGCCGGGCCGCCGCCGCGCTCGCCGCCCTCGGCGGGGCGCGGGCCCGACACGGCGCACAGCACCTTGGTGCCGCCCGCCTCCAAGTAGGCCGAACCCTTGGCCTGGCTCAGCAGCCCGGCGCGCGCGTACACCGGCCGCAGCCGCGCCGGGTCGCGAGGGGCCGGCGCCTCGCCCTCGCCGGTCGCGTACAGCTGCGGCGGCTGCGACTCCTCGGGCCCGCGGATGCGGCGGTGGTCCCCGGGCATGGCGGCGCTACTGCCGGCCGGCACCGCGCGTCAGCCGCTCCGTGCGCCGGCGCTTCCGCCCGCCCGCCGGGCCGCGCGAGGGTGCGCGGGAGAGCGGCTGGCGCCACACCGCCCCCTGCCGCTCCGGAGGGGGACGGCGCGCGTCGCGGAGCCCCGGGCCGCAGTGAGGACGGCCAGAGCGGGGTGCCTGGGTGTATCAGACGGGCATGCAGAAGTGGCATCTAGGCCGGCCCCGCTGACCTCTAGCCTTCGGGCCAGGGCAAGCCCAGGGCGTGGGTCTTCTTCCTCTCACTTGTGAAGCTGTAATTGGTCCTGCAGTAGTGACACAACCGTATACATGTTCCCCCGCCGCCTTGCCCAGGAGGTCCCCCGGTCCTCAGTGCCCTGGCTGGCACAGCTTGTGGAGTGCACGTTTGGAACCCTCCCCCCCGCTGCGGACTGTGTGAGGTCTTTGTCTCCCTCACACTCCTCACCTGACTGGTGCTTTTTGCAGCCCGGCCTCAGCACCCTTCCTGTTTCTCCTCTTCCTCACCCACAGGCCTTGTGACTGGTGGTCTCTGTGTCTTCGGTTGGCACAGACCTGCTTTTTCTGCTCCAAGTCAGCAGGGCTGAGAATGATTCAGGGCCAGCCTGCTGCACCCAGGGGACTTGAAGTCAGCCAGAGAGGGCACAACTAAGTACCACACACTACAGCTCCCAAACCCAGCTGTCTTCAGACTGGGGTGAATGGACAGAACCAGGTCAGAGTCTCCATCTTCACCGTCCAAGTTAGGTCCTGAAACCTGGAATGACCTGGCAGTCAAGGGTGTGGGAGGAGGCAACTGATGTTCCCTAAAAACCTCCTATACCAAAGAATGTCTCTGACCTCACATCCAACCTATACATCAGGAGAGGAAGAGACATATGAGACTTATAAATGAGAATGTTCTCCTCTAAGAAGCACCAAAAATGAAGCCTCTCTCTGTTGCCAACAACCCCACGGACCATCTTCCACTGAATAATGAATTCCTCTATCTCACCCCATTCTGTGGGCCATCCCCACAGATGTTTTGACGCAAATCTAGGGACCATTATTCTCAAAGTTCAGAGGTCTGGGCTGGACTCAGCAAGGACTGCAACCAGAAACCAGTTGGAACCACAGCAATTAGTCTACAGACACCCAGGGAACCACGGGTTATCACCCTGGGGACACCTATGGGGGGGAGGGCGAGAGGGGAGGAGGAGTAAAAAAGTCACGTGGCAGTATCATATCAAGTATTGCACATGGTCTTTTTATTCTCTGCAGCAAAAATGATTCCTCTCTTGAGGCCCACAGCACTGAGTCTGCAGAGAACTCTCTACAGACACAAGCGTGATGATGAAAAAGCAATCCTGGGGTAGTAGTTCTAGATGGATGGCACGGATGTGCTCAAGGAAGAAATGTAACATGGGCGTTGAGTCATAGGCTGGCTCCCAGGTTAAGTTCCGGTTACTGCTGGGTTAGGACAGACAGGGCTGTTTAAAGGTCCCATGATTCAAACGTCCTTGTGGTGGAAGGAGAGCTCCTGGCTGGACGGATGTGTCTGGATCAGGGCGGGGGAGATGCCTCCTGGTGGACCTGCCCTTCCCTCTCAGTTCTTCACGTCTCCCAGGTGCAGCTGGGCAAAGGAGGTGGCCAGCTGCAGAGCCTCCTGCAGGCAGCCCACGTTCTTGCCCGTGGCCTGAGCAGACACATCTTTGCCACCGCCTTTGCCGTCCATCAGGCCTGACACCTGCTGCACCCACTCGCTGGCTTTCAGGCCCCGGTTGGCTGCATTCTAGAAGACAGGAAGGTGGAGTGGGAGTCAGCACAGGGGACGGGATTGAGGCAGACAAGCAGAGGGCTGGAGCCAGACGCCCAATCCTGCCCTGATGCCGCCAAGGCTGAGAGCACACCGCTGGTGCCACAGCCAGGGCGACGCACACCAAGCAGCAAAGCTAGCATGGTTAAACGTATTTGCCGGGGGGAGGGCCTGAGGCTGAAGGGTACTAGGGAGGTGACAGGTGGACAACAGAACGGCATCTCTAACAGGCTGCATGCACGCGCGCACACACACACACACACAAGTCTTGGCAAACAACTAAGAAAAATCAGGGTCCTTGAGAAGAGCTATGGACATCACCTGCCACAAGCACAGGGCTGCCTGAGCAGGACTGCAGGGCATTCTGACCTGGGGGACTTGACACAAGCATGTGATCTTGCCGGCCTCATTATCCACTGTGAAGAGCATGGCAGACGTCTGGGGGGAATGCGTCTTAAAGAGCTTCAAGGCTTCATTCAGGGCCTGTGGGGAGAAGCTGGCATCAGGCCATGGCCCTGGGAAAGGGGGCCATGCTCTCCTCAAGTGCAGTGGGTTTGCAGGACTCAGTTCTCAGGGTGCCCCCCACCCCAGCCCCCGCTTCTAAGAGCAGGCGCTGGTCCTGGAGCCTGGATGGGGGCTCAGCACAGGGCCTCGCCCACCCCGGGCTCAGGCTGGCCATCCACCTCCAGGAGCCACAGCTCTCCAGCCACAGCTCAGTCCAACTCAGTCCCGGAGGGGGGGCCCTCAGGCAGCTCCTTGGCTCAGAGCCACAGGGCTCACACTCAGCCCCCAGAGGGCTGTGGGGAGCCCGCAGGGAGGAGATGGGCAGCAGACGGGCACAGGGCAGCGCGGGGGCCCGCCAGGCTTGCCTTGGCCGAGGCGCCGCTCTCTACCTCCAGGATGACCAGGGGCTGGTTGGGGCTGCTGTCGATGAGCTGTTTCGTCTTCTCCAACACCTGCGTGGAAGGATGTCCACAGAGAGGTCTCAGGTCAGAGGCCCAGACTCCGACCCCCAGATAGCAGCCTGCGCAGCCTCTGCTGGTCAATCCTCCGCCCACCCACGCTGCCGAGACCCACCCGCTTCTGCACATCAGCTTTGCTAGCCCGGTCTAGGTCGTCCATGATCTTCTTCAGGGACTTGAGATTCTCCCGGAATTCATCCTTCTGCCACTGAGGGATGACGGCAGTGGCCAGGGCCTGGAAACAGACCAGGAATACCACTGGGATCTGGACCACCAGGAGCTAGGAGGTAAGCCCAGCCCAGCCCACCCTTCTGGCTTTGAACAGAAAAGTTCCCCAACCAGTGTCCAGAAGGAGAAAGTGAAAGTGTCAGTTGCTCAGCTGTGTCTGACTCTTCGTGACCCCATGGACTGCAGCCCGCCAGGTTCCTCTTTCCATGGGACTCTCCAGGCAAGAATACTAGAGTGGGTTGCCATGCCCTCCTCCAGGGGATCTTCCCGACCCAGGGATTGAACCCACGTCTCAGAGAACAGAAAACCATAAAATGTCATAAAGTGACTTGGGACCAGGAGACCTGGAGAAAGTGGGCACCCACAGGACCTGTCCCAACACCCTCAACACCAGTGCCCACTAGTGCTTGGAAGAGGCTCTCCTGCCATCAGCAACAGGGGCAGCAGGTAGGTTCCAGGGTCCGCAGACCAGGGTCCATGGAGCCCCCCTTGCCAGGCTGCCAGACATCAGTGGTCAGTACCAACGCCCACAGCCCTGAGAACCACGACCTGAGGAGGGAGGCCGCCCTACCTCCCCGAGGTCCGCGATCTCTCTCTGCACGTCCTTGTTCGGCGCAGTCTGGGCCTTCACTTTGGCCTCCATGACACAGAGAGATTTCTTCAAGCTCTCTGCTTTCCTGAGGGCCTGTGAGGACGACAACCAGAGTTGTAAACTCTGGGTCAGGGAACCTTGAACTTCACAATTCTGCCTGTCAACTGTGGCAGGCTCTGACACAAAACCCCCCCAGAACATCAGACCTTTCTCTTCCTTCAGGGAGCACGTGTCTGCAGCCTCATGCCCCAGGAGGAAGCATTCTCCTCACACACCTGGCCAGTGGATCTTGGGCTTGGGGATGACCGAGAACTCACAAGTCAGAAGCCCTTTGCACCCATGAAATGACCACTCCTCAAGCCTCAGCATGTGTCAGGCATGAGCTCCAGTCCCCACGCCGAGCAATTGTCCCCCTACTCCATGCATCTCAAACTAAGTGCATGCCCCCAGGGAGAGGCGGCGAAGTGCCGGGGGCATGGAGGACACGGCAAAACATGGCCTCCCTCCTGAACATGAACGTGTGATGGCAGAGCTTACCTGCATTTTAAAAGATTAAAAGATAGCTAGCAAGTCTCAGGTGACGGTGGCTTCCTCCTCCCAGGCACGAGTAACTGGAGGGCGTTTGGAGGGCGTGCAGGACCTCCAAGCCTGCCCACAGTGGCCGAGTGCCCCGTGGACTCAGAGCCCAGCCTCAGCCGCTCACCTTGTGGGCTTCAGCCCCTGTGACAGCAACTATCCTCCGGATGCCCTTGGCAATAGCTTCTTCACTCACGATCACAAACGCTCCTGCGTGACTCGAGTTCTGCAGGTGTCTGCATGGCAGAAAGCAAAGTTCACGGTCCTCCCCGCACCTGGGAGCCCTCAGCTGGGAGCAGGAGCCCTAGGAGGTGGTGGCTCCCGGGGAAGCTTCCCCAGGAAACAGGGGAAAAGGCCCTTCATATTACGTCAGGGTACAGCTCTGAAGGCAGTCAGAGAAGGCCTAGCTGGAGCTGACACTGCACAAGGAACCACTTTTCTGAGCCTTAGTTTTCTCACACATTAAATGTGGAAAATTCTCCCTCACAGGACAGTTATCTTCTGCCCCTTCTGAAAGTGTCGGTGGACTACCTTTAAAATGTTAGCACAACCCCTTCAACTGCACTGCTCAGAGAACCTCACCTCAAATGCTCATTTACTGTGTCATCCACAAGGACCCCAGCCCCATCCCCCACCTGCCATCGACCTGCCAGAGACTCAGAGGAGGCCCTGGATGGGCTCTACCGTGGCCTTAGGAATGTTCTTTTCCCCACGATTCCTTTGGAAGCAGGAATTTCCCAGGCCACCACACTGTTCCAGAAAGACCTCAAAGGATACAGAGATCTTCAAGTTGGCAGAAACAAGTGACTGGCCACAGTCAAACTGAGTCAGCTCTACCGTGTGGCCTAACATAGGGGCTCTGAGACAATGGGGTTATTAATTCCCCAGATGCTCCTTCAGCTGACAAAGGGCCCTGATATGACAAAGGGCCTGATATGAGGCCCTGGGAGTCGAGAGGAGCTAAGATCAGGTTAGAAGCGCCACGGCTCTGCTGAATCATGAATTCGCAGGCTTCTCTTGTCATCTGTCCAGGGAACCAGAGCAAACAGTCATGACGTAAGGGTTAAGGTGACATTTTCCACTTTACCCTCCTAAGAAGAGCGTTCCACCACACACTCAGTAAATTCACTATCAGACACTGAGGGTGTGGGGCACAGAGACGCTGACTTCTAGGACAGCTACTTGGCACCTGCATTTCCGAGGACCCCTCTTCAACCTCAGACAAACGAGAGCTGGTCTAGCCCATTACCCACATCCTCCGAGGGTAACCCAAATTAGAAGGAGGCAGGTCCACCACTGCCCCCGAGGTACTCACGTTCCCCCACAGAACTCAACAGAAGTGAGCGAGCCAGCAGGACCGGAGGGGTCATCCAGCAGCTCAGACACTGGGACCCCAATGGAGACGACTCGCACAGGGTCAGGGTAGGTCTCATCAAACACAGCCCGCAGGCCCTGGATGGCTTTAGCTGCTGCCAGAGCACAATCCTCAGTGTAGACCGGCTGCCGTGGAGAAAGGACAGGAGAGACAGCTGGGGAGATGTTCTCTGGGGGCGCAGGAGGGAGTAGGGAGACTGCAGACTTGCAGGCAGGGCTCTGGTTTCTGATCCTGGCTGTGCTGATCACGTCCCAAAATAAAGCCCCATATGTAAGGTCAAGGAGCTCAAAATAGGAATTTCCAACTGTTTCGTTAAACCATGCACCAAATCTGAAATGGATAAGCTGCTGTATGTAAACCAGATATAACTGGAAGGGCCCCGGCTGTCCTGAGGAGGAGGAGCAGAGACCACTCCCTGAGCACCAGCACCGTCCCCGACCAGCACAGCTGAGAACCACTGCGTTAAGCACATGTTCACGGGACAGAATACGGTCCAACAGGGAGAGCACTGGGGCGGCAGTGGCTCCGTAAATGGTGCAGGAAGGAGAGGAGTTCATGACTCAGAGTTCACGTGTAATCCAACCTACCTTGGCTGCCTCAATCATCTCATTTGCAATCTCCTCAGCCTTCTTGATCTGCTGGGTGGACATGGCTCCCTTGGCAGTGAAGTCAAAGCGAAGGCGGTCAGGCGCAACTAGGGAGCCTCTCTGGTCAGCCTCCCCCAGCACAGAGCGCAGGGCGAAGTTCAGGATGTGGGTGGCCGTGTGGTTGCTCATGACAGGCCTTCGTCGGGGCTGCACGGGGCAGAGCAGGCTGGTGGAGAGGTCGGTGGTGGACCGCTGGTCGGTCCCCAACACCTACTCTCCCCTTCTTCCCAAGGCCTAAAGGCTTTAGCTGGACACATGGCTGCGCAGAAGAAAGCCTACAGCGTCCCTCACAGCTAACTGTGGCTAGGTGAGTCACTTCCAGTCAGTGAGAAGGGACACATTCCCCCTCCCCCTCCTCTTTCCCACCATCTACAACAGGAGATGGCAAGTTACGGCCTGTGGGCCAAATCCGTCCTGCGGTCCATTTTGATAGCTAGGTTTTCCAGAACATAGCCCACCCGTGTTTATATATTGTCTACAGTGCTTTTGTGCCACAACAGCAGTTGTGACAGAGACTATGGCTCAGAAAACCAAAAATATTTACTATCTGGCACTTTACAAGGGCTTTCCAGGTGACTCAGCAATAAGGAATTCACCTGCCAATGCAGGGAGATGCAGGAAACCCATGGGTTCAATCCCTGGGTCAGGAAGATCCCCTGGAGGAGGAAATGTACCCCACTCCAGTATTCTTGCCTGGAAAATTTCTGTGGACAGAGGAGTCTGGCAGGCTATTGTCTGTGGGGCATGGGGTCGCAAAAAGTCAGACATGACTGAGCAACTGAGTATGCACACATGCATGTAAGAAATTTACACAAAAAGCTCACCAACCCCTGGTGTAGAGAATGGACTGGACAGCAACCTTCTTGGAACGTGAAATCAAGAGCAACACCCCAGGAATAAAGGAAGAACAACAAACAAGGAACAGCAGGCCCTCTGACTCTGTGAGGAGGGCCTCTGCATCAGCGTGGACTTTCAGGTGAAAAGCGCATTTCCACTGTGTTTTATGCTACTATTATTTTGGAGGTTTGGCACACACAATAGAAACTATTTCTTAATATGGGATCCTTGGCTCCTGAAGTATTTGAGGTAAAGCTGGAGAAAGGCAATCCATGAAAATGAAGCTACAGGATCTCAACTGAAATCACCGTGGTCTTACTTGAGACATTTAGATTTAAATTTCAGTTACAACCCTCATAAAATTTACTCCTGCACCTTATTACCTTACTTGTAATTACCTATTTATAATTTCACTTAGAAGGGGTAATAATGATGGACCAATTTAAAGCCAGAAGAGGTGAATTCTTTTCACAACCTATCAAATCACCATGACGTACACTTTAAATATCTTATAATTCTACATGCCAGTTAAGCCTCCATAAAGCTGAGTTCGTTTTTAAAAGGGGGAGGGAGAGGATCAGCAGTCCTGTCCAGTGCCGAGCAGCATAAAGCAACTCACCTCATCGATGAACAGCCGGACCCGGTCCCCCACCTTCAGGCCGCCGTAAAGAGTCCCTACGTGCAGCACATAGCCCCCTCGGACCTGCGTGTTCTTCACCGTGAACTCGGTTTTCTAAGAGTAGAGCAGGGGGCCAATAAGCAGCTGGCTGAATAAACCCGTGTGTGCGCGCGTACGGGCAGGGATACATGCACACACAGATAGGCATGTATATGGGCTCTCTCTGTGCATGGTGCACACACACATTATCATGCTATATATGTATGTTTATACATTGATATATACAGGGGCCACTATATACCCATTATATTATTATGTACACACAGCAGTTTAAATACGTAGTAGACATGTATGTATACACACACACTCCATTAGGAAGCATCTTAGAGAACTAAAGCCAGGGTAAGGAAACTCAAGTCCACGCGTCTAGGAACTCGTCCAAAACCACAGAGCCAGCAGCAGCAGAACGACAGGCTGCAGCTTGGATGAGGACCCCATCCCGTTCCCCACCCTCCCGTGGGGAGGTGGCCCTCCTTATTTCTGAGGGGAGCCTAGAGGACCCAAGGATCACCCTAAGCAGCCTGGCTGCAAAGACCCCGCTGTGAGGGGAGCTGACGGTGAGGGAAGCGACACAGCACAAGCAGCGGCGCCCCTGGCTCCAGAAACACTGGCCATGGGACAACCCAGAGAGCGGTGGTGTCTGCCCCTCAGGCCAGGGAGCACCCAGCCGCCAGAGTGGCTGTCAGGGTGCAGGCCATGGTTGGCCCCCCGCCCCCTGGCTAGCGAGGAGGAGCTGCTGGCTCACGTCTTCACTGCTGTCGTCGACCTTCACCAGGTACCCTTCATCGTAGATCTGCCCTCCCTGCTCAGCGTAGAAACAGGTCTTGTCCAGCACCACTCCACACTCCTGGCCTGTGGACACTTCTTCCACAAACATCTTGTCCCGGCGCAGAGCCATCACTGTAGCTACTGCACTCTCAAACACTGTGCACAAGGGGAAAAGCACAGTAGATGATTTCACTCACACATTCTCAGCTGGCTTGTGCTGGATTCTGTTTCTCAAACTCTCCTGAGGTCCTAACTGTCTACTGCTATGTTGGAAGCCAGCCTATTAGCCTTCACAAAAGGGCTTAACATGCTGGTCTTCTCCTGGAGAACACAATACTCAGGGATGATCAACTTCCTTGGTTTGCTTGGGACCAAGGGATTTCCCAGGATGTGAGGAAACACTGGGACAATTCTAGGAAAATGGGACAGTTGGTCACCTTAACTCTGAGCTACTGAACAGAAAGCCGGTGAACTTGATAAGCAGATATTTAAGAGTAGTGATAAATTCCCTTTCCAAGATCAATTCATAAAGAATATATTCATTTTGAGGGCTTCCTTGGATACATTTAGGAATCCCTGCTGGAGTGAAAAAATAAAAAATAGGACTTCCCTGGTGGTCCAGTGGTTACGACTCCATGCTTCCAATGCAGGGGGCCTGGGTTCAATCCCCCGTCAAGGAACCAGATCCCCACGCCACAACTAAGAATTCATATACTGCAGCTAAAGACTGCAACTAAAGACCCGAAGAGCTGCAACTAAAACTCAGCACTGACATATAAACAAATATTTTTTTAAAAAAAGAAGAAAGCAAAAACATGTAGCGCCTGTGTATTTGAGCTGTCTTAACTTTAGAACACTACTGTTCTGATGCAAAATTCAATGCCACTATGAATTTTATCAGTCAGTATCATTTTTCTTGTTTCCTAACAAGATGTTATTAATATAATTAGTGAAAACTGGGTATAAGGTACAAGAGATCTCAAGTTAAATTTGTTTCTTTACAACATCCTGTGAATCTGTAATTATTCCAAAATAAAAGAGACAGAAAGTCAATCACAAAGGGCCTCTCTGAGTATAAAATAACCCAGCATGACCACACAGTGCTACAGGTGAGGCTACCATGGATACTCAGGGTTTCCAATCTTGAGACGCATTGCTTGAAAACCACCCCAGATGAGCAAATGAACATACCGTAGGTCCCACTGGTGTCCGAATAGTAACTGTACTTCGGGGAATCATCTGTTGCCTCCAAACCCTTTTCCCGGAGCTCTTCAATAGCATAAATGTCCAGCATAATGAGGTCCTCCCCACCAGCTCCCTTGCCCTGTGATTTCAGCTGCCAGCAAGAGAAATAAGCACAAGTTACCTTAATGTCAGAGAAAAAGAACTCTGAAGGACTCGAAATCGCTAAACCATGCCCCATGTAAAGATCTGAACAGTTTTTCTGATCTCAGCACCATGACACTTGGGGAGCCGGTTAACTCATGCTCTGGGAGGCTGTCCACTGGAGGAGGTTGAGCAGCACTCCTGGCCTCAAGCCACTACGCAGCAGCACACTTGCCCACCCGCACGTTCAGAAACCCAAGAGACGTCTTTACACATCGCTGCCAAACTGCCCCGCTTGAGATTCACTAGGCTTGGGAAAAACAGAAATTTCAAAACCTTTAATGGGAGGAAACTCGTGCTTTGCAGTCAAGCCCTGCCTTGCGTGGCACTGAGCTTCCTTCTCACTCCATAAACACTTTACCTGGGCCAGCTTCCTCTCCTCGTCAAAGCCATCCATGTCCACCACCAGCCCCTTCTCTTCAGCAATCAGCGCGGTGAGATCCACGGGGAACCCGTAGGTGTCGTAGAGGAGCCAAGCGGTGTCCCCTGCACAGCGCCATGGAGCATGTAAGAGTGACAGGGAGGAGGTTCAGGGGGGCACACGTATGCTGACGGCTGATTCACGGCAGAAAACAACACAACACTGTACAACAATTGTCCTCCCGTTAAAAACAAAGAAACTTTAAAAGATTAAAAAATGATGGAAACAGCCTCCCTCTTCCCCACTGCAAGCCCTTCCCAGGAGGAAGCTGGCAATGACAGGAGGAATTAAAGAGCCATGCAAGTCGGTTTTGGTTCTGTATCAGAAAATCCATTAAATCTTTTCCAATCAACCTGGGAGAAGCACAGAGTCCCTGGAAAAGCTCTGTTTCCTAATCTGAACACAAGTGTGTTCAGTTTGTGGGAAATACACCAGGCTTTCACCCTGTACATTATACTTCCATAGAGTAAAAACTTTTGGAACTAATTTTCCTGTCAGGTAAAAAACTTGTAAAACATTATATACTATTTGTTCCCATTTTTGCTTATGAGCACACACACCCCTATATACATCTGTATGCAAACAAAGAAAAGTCTTGACTAGTTATATGCAAAATTCCGAAGAATTGTGACTTCTGAAAAATGAGTCAAAGAGGATTTTCACTTTTTACCTCTATACTGTTTGACTAATTTGCCACAATAATATATTACTTGTTAAATCATATTATTGAACCCCATTTCACACCAAAGTGGTCTAACCAGGCTATGCTCAGCCTTTGGAGACACAAGAGCCTACAGTCAAGTTTGTGAGAAAGGGCTTGCCTCTTCCAGGAAGATGAACCAGCCTGATGAAGAAAGGAAAAAACCAGTTCTTACCAGGAATGATTTTGCTGTCTCCCAGGCTCTGAATTTTCCTGTCCAGGATGCGACGCCCTCTGCTGAGCGTCTTGAGAAACTGCACTTCTTCTTCATTAATGATGTCCTTCACCATATCTGGGTCCTTCTTCAGCTCAGGAAACGCATCGCCCTGGCAAATGGGAAACACAGATTTGAGGCCAATAAAGACAAGGATTATACCATGACTCCTCTAAAAATTCTCATTAACAGTGTGACATCACTCACCCCACCGTAATTAAGGTTTGCACTTTAGTACAGAAGAGGTGAGCAGGAAATACACTTACCAGAGACTGGACAACAACGTCTACTAACGTAGCAAAGAAACCCCTGCTGGCATTGAGTTTCTCGTGGGAATATCGAACAGCCCGGCGGAGAATCCGTCTCAACACATACCTGTAAGAAGCAGAACCCAAGACCGTGCTAGACAGCATTCCCAGTCAAGCATTTTGTAGAGGGCCCTTTGGAATTCTATCAAAAGGCCTACTCTTTGAGAGACTCTCCTAAGGCTTTTTCGCATTCCCCCAAGGTCATCAACATTAATTCCAGCATAAAACTCATGTTTTGTGGATGTTACTACATATCCACAAATACGCATCAAGGGTAACCTTGGTTCATCTTCCAGCCTTGTTCTACTAAACTGAAGATGGAGGCAGGAAGTACAGACCAGATGGCCGACTTGATGCCCAGAACCCCAGGTCCTGCCTGTCAATAATCAAGATGCCTTGGGTTAATTAGTATCTACCCTGCCCCTGTCAGTATCTTATCAGGCAACCTTAAATACAATCCTTATCACCTGGTACTTGGCAGCAAAGATTTAATATAGTGAACTCTGTTCAAAGTGAGCTGAAACTCCCTCTATTCCTAAAAAAGGGAAAAAAAGAATCCCTCCAACCACCTAGATGACACATAAAGCAATAATGAAGTGTGGCTTTAAGTTCCACAGAGCCAAAAACTCAGTGTCAGTCCTAAAGCTGCACCATGTGTAACACACTTACCCCCGCCCCGTATTGTCAGGTCGGCCACCATCGGCCAGGGCCACAGTGATGGTCCGTGCGTGGTCAGCCAGCACCCGGTAGGCCATGTCGATCCCGTCAGCGTCCTCCGCACCCACTTTCCCAGTGTATGGCCGAGCACCTGTGCCCTGCAGATAAAAACCAGGAGGCAGCTCATTGGGAAGTGGCCCTTCTGGTGCTGCCTTACCCTAGAAGGTTCCAGAGGACTGTAGGGTCGGGGTGGGGGCATAAGGAGAAAGGGTGACCATCTTGCCAGATCCTGTAATCCCAAGAAAGGCGACAGGGGCAAGACTGAAGAGCCTCTAACCAGGTTGCTGCACTCAATAAATCACAATGCCCTGTGCTTCTTCAGAACACTGTTATTAATGTTAACCATGAAGCTGGCAGATGGTCACAGGTGCCCTCACGTGGCAAAGCATACAACTGTTTCCTTTTTGACAGAACTAAGAGCCAGCCTGGAAACCTCCACAGAAGTCTGCAATAGGACCAGTACCTTTTGGATGGCTTCAAAATAAGGGACGAAAAGGTCAGTGTCATAGTTGGACATCTTATTCTGCAGCACTGACACCAGTCGCTCCAGGCCCATCCCTGTGTCGATGCTTTTCTTGGGAAGAGGTTTCAGAATGCCATCGGTTTCCCTGCAAGATCCAGATAAAGAGGAAGGTGAAACACGGACTCCGGCTGCCACCTCTCCCTGCTGGGTAAAACTCACTTAGCCATTTGCAGGCTGTGACTGTCATTAGCTTCTGCCTATTTTGGTGAGAAGAGGGGAGTGCAGAGAAAAGGGAAGAAATAATCTGGGATCCATTACAGAGTGAGGCAAGCTTCAAGGAAATGAGCTTTAGAACAGCAGTTCAAGTTACAGCAAATTATGCCTTTAGCACTGGCCCACTGGCCCCAAAGACGGGATGAGAAGACAACCACACGCTCTGAGTTCCTCTTGCTCTACTTGGTTTGAGGAAAGCTGCTGCTCTTAGCAGGAACAGTTCAGGACCCCGAGGCGACCTGTTATACTGGATGAACACGAGGTTCCAGATCTCCAGCACGTTGGGGTCGTCTTGGTTGACGAGGTGTGCCGCATCCCGACCACCAACCCGGTCATAGTGGATCTCACTGCAGGGACCACATGGGCCCGTGTCACCCATCTCCCAGAAGTTATCCTTCATGTTGCCGGGGAGGATTCTGCTGTCATCCAGCCTGCAGAGAGCGGGAAGAAAGGCCCAGTTACAGCCAGCGACAGGATTCTGCACAGACTTGCATCCCTGAGAAAAGGAGATCCTTATACATTTCTAGAAAGAGAGCTCACTCTTTGGCAATTACTAATGCCAAGCCTGCAGCAAATCCTGCTAAAGAAGCACAACATGATTCAAGAGTCACTACAACAGAATATAAAATACATGTTATAATCACAACTAAATGAAAATATGCAAATATCTAGATAAAGCTGAGAAACACATAAAAGTGAAAATGTTTATGCTGAATATGTACAGAATTAAACAAATTTCTTTGCAAATGTTCCTTCATTTTCATAAATGAGGACAATTATGACAATGTAAGTGTTTTTAAAAAAGCTGCATATCTGGGAGAAGGAAACGGCAACCCACTCCAGCATTCTTGCCTGGGAAATCCCATGGACAGAGAAGCCTGGAAGGCTACAGTCCATGGGGTCACAAAAGAGTTAGATACCACTAGCAACTAAACAACAACCAAGATTTAATGGATTTAAATAATATGTTGGGCAAGATGGGTTGCAATATGAAAGTAATTATGATTCTTCTGTTTGAGTTGTATAATTTTTCCATTTGTTTGTTTTTATTAAAAAATGTATAACAAAAAAAAAAAAGCTGCATATCATTTAAAGTCACCTCCCTATGCCTCTTCATGTTGGCTTTCAACAACAGAATGATCAAGTAAACCTACAAAGAAAGCAACGGATGCAGCAAAAGATAATTACTCCCAGGCACCTCCACCTCCCAATTCACACCCTAAAATAGGAAATGGCAATGCACTCCAAGTCCTAAGACCCCACTCTGACACCGAGAGCAGAATCATTTTATTCCTTCATACTCATACTCTCAACATGCAAGCTGCATTCTTACCCCAAGTTTTGCCAGATCTGTTTGCATTCCAGGTCTGGTTCTAAGCCAGCTGCTTCATCCCCACCAAAGTAAGTAACGTAGAGTCTTTCAACTGGAATGCCAAACTCTTGGGTAAGAAGTTCTAGAGCCATCTTACATGCCAGTTCCTACAACAAGATCAAAAAGATGTGGAACATGACCAAACCAAAATCTATTTAGTATGAACAGAAGAGGGCCAAAACAGTGTCTTCACCATAAATAGTCATATCAAGGATCAATTTATACAAGAAATCCAAATGTAAACTGAAATAATCAAATTACAAGCACTGCTTTCAGGAAGTCTTAGAATTAAGAAATGTCCTTCACTTCTGAATCTCAAAATGCCAGCAGATCTTCTCTTTGAACTTACCTTGAAGTAATCTCCAAAGGACCAGGAGCCCAGCATCTCAAAGAAGGTGTGATGATAGACATCCTTGCCCACGTCATCCAGGTCATTGTGTTTGCCGCCAGCCCGGATGCATTTCTGAGTGTTGGCAGCTCTGCTCAGCTTTGCCATAGGGTGAGATGGGTCAATAGTATTCAGAAAGATGGGTTTGAACTAAAAAAAAAGGAACATTTCAACTTTTAAAGAGCTGCAGATATATCAGGTGGCAGGAAGAGACTACACATTAAACTGTTCGGTTCCAGATATGATCAGCCTGCAAAACCGAAACTTATCAGAGGCAGGTGGCCCTGTGGGCTACAGCAGAGGCAGCCTGTCTTGGAGCAGCGCCCCCTCCAGCCCTAGTTCTCTAATGATTCCCATCAATGCCAGTGACACCAACTGAGAGACAGAAAGCCCTGCCAGGTCTAGGATAACGGTCAAGGTTGATGCAGTGAAACCAGTGCTTCCTCTTAAGCCTCTGACAGTCAGGGCTTATAGCATCTTTCTAGAAGACTTTATTCCAAACCTGATGTGCTGGCTTGGTAGTAAAGGTGATAAGGAAGAAAAAATTTTGAGACCTTTTAAAGAAGTAAAATCAGCACAACTAGGTCATACTAGCTCCATAATCACAACTGGCTGATGTGTGATTAGCTACAGAATCACCATCATTGCATAGAGTTCTACTGGATAGTCCTGCACTAGACCACAAACTCCTTAAAGGAAAAACTATCTTACTTAGTTCTGTATAACCAGCACCTGGATAGAACAAGCAGATGCCTAACAAATACTAATTCAAAATGTACAAACAATCAAGCAAAAAAAAAAAAGGTATTTCTGATTAAGAGGCAGCAGACCACATAAGGGGCTTCCATGGTGGCTCAGTGGTAAAGAATCTGCCTGCCAATGCAGACGACCCACGTTCAATCCCTGGAGAAGGAAATGGCAACCCCCTCCAGTATGCTTTCCTGGTAAATCCCATTGACAGAGGAGCCTGGCAGGCTACAGTCCATGGGATCTCAAAGAGTTGGAAACGACTTAGCAACAGAGCACATAAGTTAAACAAATGACTCTCTCTGAGTTCAAATCCATGCTTCAGCATTTACCAGTCTCATAAGCTTAGGCAGTTTTAGCCGAGCCTTCAGTGCCTCAGTGGGATGGTACAGAGTGAGCATCAAATGTGTTAGTGTATGTAAGACATAGAACAGTGCCTGGTGTACAGGAGATGCTACATGCAATCTACTAGTGACTGTTATTCAGGGAATGTTTATCAACCTTGGACTTTGTGGTCCTTCTGCCAAGTATAGTCAGTTCATGTGGGAGAAGACAAGGCTGCGGTATGCCTAAGTAGAACAGAACTGTTTCAGTGTCCCAGAAAACCCACCACCTTGAAAGAATCCACCTAAAATTAGCACCCTCAATTCCAGGTGTATGCATGGGATTCACACACATAATGGAAAACACTTTTATAATTTCACAGTTCACATTACACAAGGTGGAAAATGTTTCCACTGGTGCCACTTTTCAAAGCCAGAGAAGAGACCTGGGACAAAAGAAAATGTCAGCTTATCCTAGAGAGGGTCATCTTAAGGGCTGGTGGGCCCATCAGGCTAAGCGGGGCACCCAGAAAACCTCCAAAGGAAAGCCCCAAGGGCACCATCTAACCTGAAGCCACTTCCAACCAATTAAACAGTTTTCCATGTCACAGGCATACTGAAACACCTTTATCAACTTGTGATGCTCCCACTATTTCAAGAGAAAACTCTTGTCTCCTAAAATAAAACGTTCAAGTATCTTTTATAGATCAATTGCCCCAATAAGTTTCTTTAGCAGTAAATCCAAATTGACACTGGTGGCAGTAGCTGCAAGAAAAAATTAAAAATCCATAAAACAGTGCATGGCCTAAAATGGGAATGAAAGCAAAGCCTTAAAAGAATTCTGAAGAACTGACTTATTTTATAAAGAAAAATACAAGGACAATGAGAAGATGAAGGAGAACCACAACAGCTGAGTTAACAAGTCTCTTCAGGGCTCAGCAAGATTAACCCAGACTCTGATTCTAATAACACATAGCTTTTTCCTTAGGAAGCAGAAAAAAAAAAAAGAGCAAAACATTACAGACTAGATGCAGGCTGTATTTTTCTTGAGAGGCATGCAAGGTTAATCCATGAATATCAGGGTCTCTCATCATCATTAAAAATAACAATAGCTAATGTTCAAGTACCTACTTCAAATACTGTGCTACACCTTTTTTTTTTGGCTTCACCGGAGCCCCTTGCAGTGGAAGTGTGGAGTCTAAACCACTGGACCACCAGGTAAGTTAAGTCCCTGTGGTAAACACTTTTAATGCATTACTTTATTTACTCCTCATTGCAACCTAAAGACAGGCACTATTATTATTTCTCTTTTCACACACAAAGAAATGGAAGTTCAACAACATAAAGACTACACAGTAAGTGACAGACTGGGATTTCGTAGGACTTCAGGGCTGCTTTGCTGCCTCCTACGTGGACAAAAAGGCAAGGGGAAGGGGAAAACAACCTTACCTGGTTCATGCCTGCGTTGGCAAAGAGCAAGGTCGGATCGTCCAGAGGGATGGTGGCAGATGAGTGAACATAGGTGTGTTCATTTCTCTTGAAGAAATCTATAAAACGCTGTCGGATTTCACCTGCTGTTAGGGTTGCGTCCATCTTGAAAATAACCCCAGGGAACTAACCAAAGAAAAAAATGAAAGAAATGAGGGGAATTGAAACTAAGAGATAAGTAAGCATTACACAAGACTCCTAGCTTCTCAGGCCAAGTCAAAGAAGGACATGGGTAAGCTGTGTGATCCTAAAACCTCTATGTTGGAATGTTCAAGGCTAAAATTATCATCGAAGCAAAATGTGCTGCACTAGCAGACAACTGCACGTGCTCTTCCTTCCAGGGCCAACCTCAAGTTCAATATACCAACACATTAAGCAGAGGAGGTGGTTTCTTCATGCATTTATTCACTGCAAAAATGTATGGAGCACCCACTGTGCCAAGCCCTAGGTCAGGAATTAGGAAATGAGAATTAAACCTCATGATCTAGCACAAAAGCCCACTGGGGAGGGAGGAGGCTCAGGAGAAGACCTAGCTCCAAGTGTTTAAGGGAGTTGCTTTACTTCACCATCAATAGGCCTGTACTGGAAAGGCCCCTTCCAGCTCTGTCTTCACCCACATGTCTAGAACTGTGCAAAGTTTCACTATCCCCAAAGCCAGACCCTCCAGGTTTGGCCTAACCATCTTGGGGAGGCTGTTGCCGGCAACAACGGACCTGGAGATGGGCTTATCTGTACAAGAGACTACCTGCAAGCAGCAGGAATGAACCTGCCTCAACTTAGTTCCAGAACCCAACAGGTAAACCGCTGCCCTCCCAGCTGTTAGACTGCTAGGGAGTGAGGATACTGTAGCTGTAGTAAGAAGGCAGAGCTCAGAATCTATGAAAAGAGAAAGGGACTCGGAAGAGAGGGAAATCAGGAGTAAAACAGATTTACAGTTTACAATCTCTTTTATATATATTATATGGCTTCTCTGACAAACGGGTGAGAGAGAAGTGGCATGGGGCTGTACTGCCATACAGCTCTGGGTGTCTAGAAAAATAAGGAACCATCTCATTCACAATATTATCTAAAAGTCTCTAATCTTAGACCTAGCTCTAACCTTTAAAGTCACTTTGTCCTACACTTGTTTCTCTTCCTGTAAAACAGTAGTACCTATCCTGCCTACACCTGGGGTGTGTGGTTCAAAAGGCCTCCTGTATTTGGAAGCAACTGGTAAACTGGAACAAACTGGATACTATTACATCACTTACCTCAAAGTTTTCTTCCTTTTTAGGAGGAAGATACAACAAAGAAAGATGTATATAGCAAATATAATGAGATTGTGACTCTTAGATTTTATGTTTAATCACAATTTCAATTGATTTATTCACAACTCAATCAACCCATTATTCAAACAAAAAGCCCTTTGGGGAAAAAGATGGTGAAACACTGGGTGACAGAACCAAAGAACTGACTAAAATTTCCATAGCTGAGGACTTTCTGTTGATGCCAAGGAGTCAAGGCTACAGTTTCTAGAAACTCTGTCACATCACATTCCTCCTTGACCCTCCTCAACATGGCTCAATGCATCTTAATAATAACGGTGGCAACAATGAACGCAGGGTGCTAACTCTGAGAGAGCAACAGCATCATAGCTGTTTCACAGTGTTCGTTGCTTCTCTAAACGTGTCACTGAGAAAAACAAACAGTTTCGTTTCAAAAGACACATAGATTTTCCATCTCTGCTTAACTCTTTCAACATACTGAATCCATACTATAAGCTGGGAACCAAGATGAATGAGAGTCTACACCCTTAATGGGGAGACAGTCATACCCAGAAGTAACTGTAGTATGACATAAAATGAGCCAATACATTGATGTAAAGCCCTACGGAGGCTGGGACTATTAAAGGCTGTATCACCACAACTCATTCATTTATTCAATATAAATATACAGGAAGGTTACACTGGATACAGAGGTAGCACATAGGAGACCAGATTCCATATCCCAGCAGGAGTTGCGTGCGGCCTTTGGGTTTAAGGTTGCAGCCACTGGACCTTTCAACTTGCTCTTCATTTACAAAGTAAGCTGACTACCCTATTCCCCTCTTTGCTTTCTCCTAGTTAATTTCTCATTGTTAGTATCTCAATTTCAAAGAGATTTATTTAAGGAAGGCTTCTCCTTTTTGATCAGATTCTCCCTGTTTTAGTTTCAGAGCCCCAGGTGCCTTCTGCCATAATTTCCACATGCATTTGAGGGCTTGACGTCCATCTCCCCAAGAGGCTGTAAGTTCCAGCCCAATGGGAATCACAACTGGAGGTTTGTACAGTGTTGCTAAATATTTCATGCTATAGGAATCCTTTAAGAGCGAATTGCTAGTGAACTTAAAAGCACAGCGGAAACAGACCGACAAAGTAGCCGCTGAATGTGGCGGAGCACGCCAAGTGCGTCCATAAGGGCGTGGACTACAATCAGTTACGGAGCTACCATCAAGAACTGGGGAGCGGGCGCGGACAACTGAGGGAGCGGCTCACACTGCCTGATCCTACCCGTGCTGACCACGCTCCCCGGCAACGCCGCCCGCCCCTAGGGGATTAAAACCAGGGCATATAAAACCTCCGCCTGGGACGGGTAGTCGGCGACCACGATGACCCCTCCAAGGTCTCGGTTCTCAGCAAGGCCACCCAAGGCCTAAGCCAGCCCAGCGCTCCAGGGGTCTGACAGAAAGCCACTTTCCGGCGGCCGTGTCGCGCAGCGGCCGCCTCAGCCTCGGTTCCGGCCCGGTTCCAGAGGCCTCACTGGACCTGGCCCAGGGATCAGACGCCGGGCCCAGCCGCTATCTCGGCGCGGCAAAACTCTCTTGGTCCAGTCTGCTTCTCCCAGGGGTCACAGTTCCTGACTTGCCCCTCAGAGCCCACTGCCCGGAACCCTCGGTTACCTGCTCCCACAGACGCGCAGTGGCACGGGCCTCAAGCCGCGGCGGCTGCAGCACGCACCGCCCCGTCCAACCAGAGAGCGCGGGGGAAAGTGCCTCGCCGCGCCTTGCCTTTCCGAGACGTTATTGGTCAAGCAACATGCCAGTCAACTGGAGTCCGTATCAGCTTCTTGCTGGTTCCTGGGAAGGCGGCTCTACTTCTGGCTGACGCAATGGCAGGGAAAGAAGGGATTGGGGCCCATCACGTGACGAGTAAGGTTGCGGACTTATGGAAACCGACATTTTAGTGTCCATAAGATATGTCGTGGGCTTCCCTCGTGCCTCAGATGGTAAAGAATCCGCCTGCGGTGCGGGAGACCTGGGTTCGATCCCTGGGTTGGGGAGATCCCCTAGAGGAGAGCATGGCAACTCACTCCAGTGTTTCTGCCTGAAGAATCGCCATGGACAGAGGACCATGGCGGGTTACAGCCCATGGGGTCACAAAGAGTGGGACACAACTGAGCACACAGGATAAGTTCTAGTGGTTGATTTGGCTAATGAGGGGAAACAGTGACGTGTGTTTGGTAGAGGTCACAGCTCTTAGCATCTAGTTGTGTTCGTTGTGTTGTTATAGAATGGTATGCGGATTCTGATATGTTATGCCAGTGGACACACTTGTCCTTGTCAGACCTTGGATTTGGTGTGGAAGAAATAACTTACTCCTTGAGAGACAAATTGGCCTCTGGTCTTCCATCTGCCTTTGAAAAATAATAGGCTGATTGATGTCACTGTATGGCAAAAAGCACTACAATAAAAAATTTAAAAAATAAACTCATAAAAAAAATAGTTAATATTTATATGCAAAGCATTAGTAAACATTTCCTTTTTGCTGTTGTTCAGTTGCTCAGTCGTGCTGACTCCTTGCAGCCCCATGGACTAGACTGCAGCACACCAGGCTTTTCTGTCCTTCACTATCTCCTGAAAGTTGCTCAAATTCCTGTCTGTTGGGTCAGTGATGCCATCTCATTCTCTGTCGCCCCCTTCTCCTTCTTCCCTTAATCTTTCCCAGTATCAAGGTCTATTCCAGTGAGTCAGCTCTTCACATCAGGTGGCCATAGTATTGGAGCTTCAGCATCAGCTTCCAGTCAGTGAATATTCAAGGTTGATTTTCTTTAGGATTGACTGGTTTGATCTCCTTGCTGTCCAGGGAACTCTCAAAAGCATCAGTTCTTCAGAGCTCAGTCTTCTTTATGGTCCAACTCTCACATCCGTACAGGACTGCTGGAAAAACCAAAGCTTTGACTATAGTTTGCTTAATTTTTCGACTGTGTTTGCGGCAGATCAACAGGCATCCTGTTTATAGAGATGAGGTAACTGTTTTGCCTGGGTACACACTGAAAAAGTTAAAGAGCCAATATTCAAACCTGTGTCTGTGTCACCCCAAGACCCATGATTTTAACCTCTCTGAGACAGGAGGTAGATGCCACCCCCCTCCCCACCAGCCCCAGGGTAAAGCAATTGGAGATTCGTTCCATAAGGACTGAAACTCCAAGACAAACATAGTGGGACAATTAAGGGAGGAGGTTGGGTCCTACCCAGATACAGACTTCTTATTTTCACAGTCAAGAGAACTCACTGACCACTCAAGTGCAAAAAAAGTTTCCTTGGAGGTCAAAGAGGAGTTATGTCGAGGGATGTTCTCTACCCATATGCCTTTTTTGTAAAGTCCGTCTTGGCTAAGAGATGCATGGGCACACAGGGGAGGATCCTGAGATACACCAAATATGGATTGTGAATCAGACAAATCAAAATCACTGGCCAAAGGAAACCCAGGAAACCAGGAAGAAATACCCCTTAAAAGTAATTCAGACTTCCACAAGGGTGTGACTCAGTGACTCTCTCTCGCTTTCTCTGTATTGCGCGCACGCCGTGAGTCTCAAGTCAGTTCAGTCGCTCAGTCACAACCAACTCTGCGACCCCATGGACTGCAGCATGCCAAGCTTCCCTGTCCATCACCAACTCCTGGAGCTTGCTCAAACTCATGTCTAGTCAGTGATGCCTTCCAACCATCTCATCATCCTCTGTCATCCCCTTCTCCTGCCTTCAGTCTTTCCCAGCATCATCTCCAATATTAACCTACATCATCTTGTATATCTAAATACAAAGGTATAAAATTGTGCTGGTCATCCCTAGGTTAAAGATACATTAGGAGAACACAAGTTTGCATGCCCAATGCACAGTGAGGCCAAACATCTCAAAACATGGGAATTTAGAGCAGAGAAAGGTTTACTGCAAGGACAAGCAAGATGAACAGGTAGATGGTGCTCAAAAACCCCAAACTCCCTGATGGTCTGGGGGAGTTTTTTATGACAAAATTTGGGGTGAGGGCTGCAGGGTGTGTGACTCCCTTCTGATTGGTTGGTGGTGAGGTAATAGGGTGGTGCTCCAAGAATCTCCTGCCCAGCCTGAAGTTGGGGGGGGGGGGGGCAGGGAGGGACTTAGTTCCTGCCAGAGAACCCAAAGATACTGTATGCATAGTCCTTGAGGAGGAACCAAGACCTTACCCAAAAACTGCACTATTGTTCTAGACTGCTAGTCTCTTGTTTCCACAATCCTTCCCTTCCCTGATTAGCAAATGTTTGAATCTACCCTTTGGAATTCAGGGAGGGTCAAGGAGGCTGAATGAAGCCTAGTTCCTACAAAGGCTTGTGTGCCCAGGATGGCCCCACAGACTCCTGTTTGGTCTCAATATTACAGAAAAATTTTGTCCTTTTTGTTAGGGGAAACATTGGCTGAAACCACCCACCCTGGCCAGGCACTGCAGTAACCATTTGAGTGAGTATTTTGTGACAGGAGGTCCTGGTAAGGACCAGGGAGGTAAGGACCAGGGAACTAAAAAGCCCCCACCAACCAGAAGAATTCAGGAAAGGTCAAAAGGAGACACCACCTGTCCTACCACCTCCCAGAATCCTTGCTGGCATCCATCTTGGCTGAATAATGCCTGTGCATCCAGAAAGGACTCTGAGACAGAATTAATGGCCAAAGACAACCTGGAAATTAATCCCATCACCATAAAACCTGAGATTTGGCAGAGCAGTTCTTCTGGGTTCGCATCCCGTGCTCCCCACCGGGGCACCCCTTCCCAATAAAGTCTCTCACCTCATAAGCACATGTGTGTTCTCAGACAATTCATTTTCGACCGTTAGACAAGATCCCCCTTTCCAGCCCTAGAAGGAGTCCCGCTTCCTGCAACATTTTTGTGTAAAAGAGAATGCTACCAGGGCTTCCTAGATTGCTCAATGGTAAAGAATCTGCCTGTAATGCAGGAGACCCGTATTTAATCCCTGGGTCAGGAAGATCCCCTGGAGAAGGAAATGGCAGCCCACTCCATTATTTTTGCCTGGGAAATCCCATGGACAAAGGAGCATTGTGGGCTGCAGTCCAAAGGGTTGCAGTAGAGCCAGTCAGTTGACTTAGCAACTAAACAACAAACACAGATAGTTGACCTATCTCACAGATAGTTGACTAGCTCAAAAGCTAGTAAAAAGTCACTTAACATGACAGTAAAGTATTAATAACCATCATCACACCTAACATCCATTAAGCATTTAGCATGCAGTAGACAATGAATCTCACAACCACCTTACAAAAAGCTACTTTATTACCTTCTAAGAAAGGTCCATCTAGTCAAGGCTATGGTTTTTCCAGTGGTCATGTATGGATGTGAGAATTGGACTGTGAAGAAAGCTGAGTGCGGAAGAATTGATGCTTTTGAACTGTGGTGTTGGAGAAGACTCTTGAGAGTCCCTTGGACTGCAAGGAGATCCAACCAGTCCATCCTAAAGGAGGTCAGTCCTGGGTGTTCATTGGAAGGACTGATGCTGAAGCTGAAACTCCAATACTTTGGCCACTTCATGCGAAGAGTTGACTCATTGGAAAAGACCCTGATGCTGGGAGGGATCGGGGGCAGGAGGAGAAGGGGACGACAGAGGATGAGATGGCTGGATGGCATCACCGACTCGATGGACATGAGTTTGAGTAAACTCCGAGAGTTGGTGATGGACAGGGAGGCCTGGCGTGCTGTGATTCATGGGGTCGCAAAGAGTCGGACACGACTGGGCGACTGAACTGAACAGCAGAGGAAACTTAAGCACCCAGGTGCGCAGGCGCAATGCTTGCTGCCCCCTCCTCTGATTGGCTGGCGGGACCGGCTTCCATGCATCGGCCAATGAGGCTCTGGCTGTGAGCGGCAGTTGGCAGAGGTAACCGCCATGCTGAACTGCGATGGCCGGGGCTGCTGGCCGGGTCCGCGAACGCGCCTTAGGCCGCTTTCGGCTCGCTCTGCCTGTGCGCGATGTGAGTATCTCTGAGCGTAGATGTGAGAGCCTCTTCCCCATATTTACGTGGCTCCTTCTCCCTGGGCGGCGGGGAACAGGAATAATAATAATGGCTGGTATTTAATCAAACGTTCGTCACAGACCAGGCACTGGGCAAAAGGCTGTTAACCTTGTGATGTTGAATCCTCGAACCGTGAGATGGATGTTTACCATGATTTCAGAGGAGGCAGGCTACCTAAGTTCGCGTGGGAGAAAATGCAGGCGATTGAATTTAAAATCCCTGGATTCCTCGCTCCATGCCCTACTTTGGAAATTATAGTTTCCTTCTTAGCAGGAGCCACACACTGTGCAGGTGTTGAAGGTGTTGCAGGAAGGGGGACCCCTTCCAGGGCCCGAAGCTGGGCTCTTGTCTAACACTCGAAAATGAATTGTCCGAGGAGACACATGTGCTGACAAAGCAAGAGATTTTATTGGGAGAGGGCACCCGGGTGGAGAGGAGTAGGTAAGGGAACCCAGGAGAACTGCTCTGCCGCGTGGCTCACAGTCTTGGGTTTTATGGTGATGGGATTAGTTTCCGGGTAGTCTTTGGCCAATCATTCTAATTCAGAGTCTTTCCTGGTGGCACACGCATCACTCAGCCAAGATGGATGCTAGCGAGAGGGATTCTGGGAAGTGGACAGACACGCGGTGTCTCCTTTTGACCTTTCCTGAACTCTTCCGGTTGGTGGTGGCTTATTAGTTCCGTATTCCTTATCAGGATCTCCTGTCATAAAACAACTCATGCAAATGGTTACTATGGTGCCTGGCCAGGGTGGGCGGTTTCAATCAGTGTGCTTCCCCTAACAAAGGTGGACATAGGAAAGTCTAGATTCCTGGGGCTTATTAAGTTTGTTTTTTTTAAGAAGAATCTATACACACTAAAAGCATTTATGGAGAAGATAAGCACTCAGATTCAGAAGAGTGTCTGCCTCTTGGGATGGCAATGCAGGGGCTTCATTTAAATCTTAACTGTTGTCTGTTACAGAATTCCCTTTCCTGTTTGTCTGAAATACAATTTTAAAAGGAAAACACGCACATGAAAAATAACTTTCAAAGGATGAACTGTATGCAGTTTCCTCCCAGCTCAGACTTTTAGAGCCCCTCACTAGAAGCAGCCACTGATACCACTTTTCTGTGTGTATTATACATTTTCTATAGTATGTACAAGCGTGTTTGTTTTGTTTGCACAAGTGAATTCTATTGTATACAGCCCTGCACCTTTGATGATTTACCTTTAAACTCATTAAACTTAAAGGTTCTTTAACCACTTTTACTCCTGTGATCAACATAATTTGGCAAAAGAGTCCCAGGGTTGCTTCTCACATAATGAGGTGTAGGTCATGGCCTGTCATATGCACATTTACCTTTTTCTTCCTGCACATCCTCATCTGCAGGGTCCAAAAGAATCTTCTCGAAATTAACTCTGTAAAAAGTGTTGGAGAAAAAGAATCCCGGCAAGAAGAGGACTGCAGGAACTGCTTTACCCTTTTCAAAACACTTTTACTTACACTTTACAAGTAAAATTCCACATAGAGCCCACTATTATTTGAAATTTGTTATGCTGGATTAGTGGCAAAGTGAGAGAAGTAGGGATTTATTTCTCAGGTTGCAGAGAAATTGCCCAGTTTCCTTCTAGTGAAGTATCAAGGAAAGAGATCTTGTTTGATCCCAGTTAAACTGTCACACTTAATCCTTATTTTATCCTTTTTTCTTATTTTACCTCTTCTTAAAGCCCAATATATACTTTTTTTTTCCTTTTAAAAAATTCTCCCAATCATAGAATGCTTATGTGAGAGAGCTGGGATTCTAGCCCAGACAAAGCTATCTCTAAAAGTCACACCAGAATGGGGTGTTCCCTCGAATGAACTCATTTGCTCATTAAGCTGCTCCACGCGGTCCTTTTTCATCAGCCTCCTACCAACTTCATCCCTGATTACTGTCATCATTCCAGAAACTGTTTTTGTTCCACAAACCTACTTGCTCTGTCTCTGATATTCTACCTGGAACACATTTCCCCAGCACCCTCGTTGAGTATTTTTCAAGGTTAGATTCCTGTAAGTGCTGTTGCCACATAAGTCTGTGGGACAAAATTTTAACCAAACGGTGTTTGAGACGGCTGATTCCCAATACTCTAGCTAACACCTGGACATAAAAAGCGAAGGAAAAAAAAAATCTGCTTGCTTCAAATTCATTTTGCTCACTATCCGTAATGGTTTTGTGTATTGGTACATTCAGTGTATATGAGCATCTAATATATCACTGTGCTGGAGAAGAGTGTGGTTTTGCTCTTTGGTTGGAGAGCCAGTTGACAGGAGCTCAGGCATTTTAAGATACGATCTTAGTCTACGGTTCTAGACGTTGGATAAGAAACTTATGAGCAATGAAAAAGTGGAGGTTTGAAGGCGACAAAAACGCCAGTCCAAAGAGGGCGCGGGTCCCGCCGGCCGGCGCGGACTCTGACGTCACTGGGGCGCGCCGCTTCCGGTCCCCAGCTACAGAGCGAATGACTTTCCCCTCCCCGGGGCCGCAGCCGCCCCGGATTGCTGATCGCGCCTCACAAGCCGCCTCGTTCGCCAGCACCTGCGTCCCAGCCTGTGCCCGTGACCATGGCCACCGACTCGTGGGCCCTGGCGGTGGACGAGCAGGAAGCGGCAGCCGAGTCGGTGAGTTGGTTTCAGTCGTGAAAGGGTCAGGGGGCTAATTTTGGCCGGGATGAGATCCTGGAAAAAGTCACTCCCTGTGTTGGTCCGAGCCGGGATGGGGTACGTGTGGGGATGGAGCCTGGACCCTGAGCTGGCTTTTTTCCCCACCCGCCAGCCTCCCCGGGTTACGTAAGCACAGGTGAGCGCTCCCATAGGAAAAGAGCCAGCCGCCCCCCTGTCTTCCTGGAGTCAGGATTGCACTTACCGCCCTGAACTGTAATAATCACCTATTTAAGTGTCATCTTCCACTTCCCCATCTGAGCTGCTTGTGTCCAGGAACCATGGCTTACTCATGTTTGTGTGCTTCCTCAGCTTGCTCACTGATGATGAGTGATCCACTCTGTGGGCCCGGCAGTCAGTAAATCCTCTCGTGATCCGCTTAACTTTGTTGTGGGCCTGATACACAATAAGCAAGATATATGTTAAACGGTACTGTGTAGACTTAATTTTTCCCGCCTAAACACTCGCATTATGATAGTGCTTTGAACCCGCTCTGTTGGTACCTACTTCTGTGAATTTCTGGAGAACAAAGACTTAGTATTATTTTTTTCTATAAGTGATAAAGTTTCAATATGCACCTAAGGAGTCAGTTTTTTCCTCTCCAAAGAAAACTGCTGTTTCTCTTGACATTGATCTACGATATTGACTGCTTTGTTCCCTGAATTACATGCTTGCTTTGCTACTTATTCAGTTTTCCGTTTTAGGTGTTTCTTGATTTTGACACTTTCATCCTCCTTTTTCCTCCACAGAAGCACACCTTCCTATTCCTCATATTTCCACTGTGATTTTAGTTAGATCAGTTTTCTGTGTTTATATATTAATAACTCAAATATTTTTCCTATACGACTTTTTCCTTGGAATATATGTTTTTGTTTTGTGCTTATCACCAGTTCAACCCCAGGCTCTTTGCTAATCATCTATGTTTATCTCAAGATGTCCCCACACACCAAGTACTCTGTCAGTTCCATTTCTCCAAGGTCTTGTAGCCTGTTTTGAACTGTACTAATTGCCCCAATTTGTTTTAGGGGCTGGAGGGGAACAGCGCAAATTTCTCTTTGCCCTCATTCAGGGGACTTGCCCCTCTTCTCATGTACTGGATCCTTTCATTTCTTCATCCCCCTCTACATCTTTCTTGATTTGGTGGAGTCATATATCTATCAGCTTTCTGAAGGTGTATGGGTAGTCCATTTTTTAAGATACTGCCTTTCTGAAATTAGCTTGTTTTGCCCTATCATTTGAATAATAGTATTGCTGGGTGTAGCATTAATTGTAGGTTGGAAATTATTTTCCTGCCAATTAAAAAAAAAGTTTTTTAAATTTATTTATGGCTGTGCTGGGTCTTTGTTGCTGCTTGGGCTTTTCTCTAGTTGTGATGTGTGGGCTTCTCATCACCACGGTTTCTCTTACTGCAGAGTATGGGCTCTAGGGTGTGTGGGCTTCAGTAACTGCACTTTGCAGGTTCAGGAGTCGCAGCCCCCGGGCTCAGGTTCTAGAGCACAAACTCAGTAGCTGTGGTCCCCGGGCTCAGTTGCTCCATGACATGTGGAATCATCCCAGATCAGGTATTGAACCTATGTCTCCTGCCCTGGCAGACAGATTCTTTACCACTGAGCCACTAGAGAAGCCCCGCCTGCCAAATTTTAAAGACATTGTTTTACTGCCTTCTAGATTTCTGTATTTGTAGTTGAGATGTCTGAGACCATCCTGATTACTGATGTGACCTCTTTTTCCCTTTTTAAGCTTGAAGAATCTTCTGTTTGTCTCCAGTCATCAGAACATTCATGATAATGTATCTTGATATGGGTTTATTTTCATTCATTTTATTAGGCATGGGGTGGGAACTTCAGTCTGAAAACTGTTGCCTTTGTGTTATGGGAAATTTTCTTGAAATTTTTCATTGTTGATTTCTTCTTTGTTTTTATTTTCATTCCCTCATTTCAAACTCTTATTAGCTGAATGTTGAATCTCATTAATTTTTAAAATTTTTAAAGTCAAGTTTATTGTGATATAATTTAAAGTAAAATTCACCTTGTACTACAATTCTGTGAATTTTGACAGAGGCATAGTCCTGTCACTACCACCACAATCAACATATAGAGCGTTTCCACCACTCCAAAAAGTTCCCCCAAACTTCTTTTGCATTCACTTTCTTGTCTCTACCCTTCTCTGGCAACTGCTGATCTGTTTTCTGTCATTTTACTTATACCTTTTCCAAAATGTAGTATAAATGGTATTATACAGTATGCAAACCTTGTGAAAAATCTGGCTTTCAGTAGTTTGTTCTATTTTTATTGCTGGGTAGTATTCCATGTATGGGTGTACCACGGCTTGTTTAACCTGATGATGAACATTTGGGTATTTTCTAGTTTGGGGGTATTTATGAATAAAGCTGTTATACACATTAGGATATGCAGATTTCGGTATGGACTTATGTCTGCATTTCTCTTCGGTAGATATCTAATAGTGTGATTTGTTGGGTTATATGTTAAGTGTATGTTTACCTTTTAAGTTATATAACAAACTGTTTTCCAAAGGGCTGCGGCATTTTGTATTACCACCAGCAACATGTGAAGCTCCAGTTGCCTCACATTCTCAGCAGCACAGCATGGCCAGTTTTTTCCTCCATTCTAATAGGTGTATAGAGATATCTCACGAGGCTTTCATTTACATTTCCCTAATGACTTCAAGGAGATCCAACCAGTCAATCCTAAAGGAAATCAGTCCTGAATATTCATGTTGAAGCTGAAACTCCAATACTTTGGCCACCTGATGTGAAGAGCTGACTCATTTGAAAAGACCCTGATGCTGGGAAAGATTGAAGGCGGGTGAAGGGGACGACAGAGGATGAGATGGTTGGATGGCATCACCGACTCAATGGACATGAGTTTGAGTAAACTCTGGGAGTTGATGATGGACAGGGAAGCCTGGCGTGCTGCAGTCCATGGGGTCGCAAAGAGTCAGACACAGCTGAGTGACTGAACTGAACTGAATGACTAATGATGTTGAGTGTCTTTTTATGTGCTTTGCCACCTGTATAACTTCTTGAAGTGGCTTTTCAAATCTTTTGCCAATTAAAAAAAAAACTGATTGATGATTAAAAAAAATTCATTGTTTTCTTATTGAGTTGGGAGAATTCTTCATGTATTCTGGATGCAAGTCCTTTATCAAATATGTCATTTGCATAAATATTCTCCCTGACTGAAACTTAACATTTTAATTTTCTTAATAGTACTTTTTGAAGAACAGACACTTTCAATTTTGGCTAATTCTAATTTGTCAATTTTTTGATGATTAGTTCTTTTTGTGTTCTAAGAAATATACCTTACCCAAGTCCACAAAGTTTTTCACCTGTATTTTCTTTTAGAAGATTTATGGCTTTAAATGTCACATTTATGCCTATGATCCATTTTTAGTTGATTTTTTATGTAGTAGGAAGATTGGATCAACATTACCACAGTCAATTTTAGAACATTTTCATCATCCCAAACCCACTATTTCTCCTCGGCCCAGCCCTTTGTAGCTACTAATCTGTTTTCTGCCTCTAGATTTTCCTATTCAGGACATCGAATATAAATGGAAGCCTATCA